TAACTGGGTGTTCCAAAATATCACATACAGTGTCTGAATTTCAGAGTTCTTTGGTCTGTGCACATACTTAAGGACTGAGGAAGTTACCCTGACATTGCCCTGAGGAGGTAGAGGGTCAGATGGAAAACTTGATACTGAGGCAGAATTAGTCAAATTTTTTTTGTCTTCAGTTGCTCTGGAAGAACCCTGAAACTGTTTGAAGCACTGAGAAATCTCTTCATAGTAATTGATTTGGGGGGTTATTTTCTAAAGGCCTGCACCACGGCGTGCAGAGGCGTTCAGTGAGGCGTGAGATGCAAGGAGGTTGCCGGAAGCATAGAGTGGCCCAGGCCTGGGTTTAGGGGTCAGTGAAGAGCACCAGTTCTTTCCAGGAATTAGACCAATGAAACAAAGTTGTTACGTTGTCAGTAATGTTGTGAGCAGACCATTAGAGTACATGGCAAAGGTGTGGTGTCTACTGATCTCAGGAGCAGCGAGAGCTGTAAGCTCTCCCTTCTCACTGATTGCTCCGTCGGCTGAAGAGAAGGCCTGCAAAGAGATTTTGTCTTTAGTTGGTACAGTCATAGTGTTTGATAGAGTTTTAAGTGAGAGTAAAATGGGAATTCTCATGTTGATGCAATGGAATTATTTTCAGAGTTCTCTTAAATCTCATTATTGATCATTCTGAAATTCCAAACATAATTGAAAGGATTTCAAGAGTAGCCTTGCGGTTCTTCAAAAAGGGCTAAGTATTTTTTTTTTAATATTTATTTATTTATTTGGTTGCACTGGGTCTTAGTTGTGGCAGGCAGGCTCCCCAGTTGCGGCTCATGGGCTCCTTAGCTGTGGCATGCGGTCTTCCCAGTTGTGGCATGTGAACTCTTAGTTGTGGCGTGCATGTGGGATCTAGTTCCCTGACCAGGGATTGAACCCGGGCCTCCTGCATAGGGAGCGTGGAGTCTTATCCACTGCGCCACCAGGGAAGTCCCCAGGGCTAAGTATTTTTGACACTTAGCTTTAGGTCAAAGGTTTAAATATACCATACAAGTGAGTTAATGGAGTCCTTCAAGAAAAATAATACGAACATTTATTATTTTCCTGGAACGCTTTTAACAGTGTTGTTCGAAGTAGTAGGTTTGTTGGGAGTTCCCTCGTGGCTTCGTGGTTAGGATCCCAGGCTTTCATGGCCCTGGCCTGGATTTAATCCCTGTTCTGGGAACTGAGATCCCATAAGCTGCTCGATGTGGCAAAAACAGAACAAAGCAAAAAAACCCAAAAAACAAAAAAACCAAACCCAAAAAAGTAGTAGACTTGCAAGGTGAGACAATTAGAACTTTCCAGTAAGTTTTAACCATATCTTGTTTACTGTAATTTTGATACTATTGGCTAAAATATTTGGTAAACATTTGTTTCCTGTCAGGATAAGGTATTGTGTTAGGTAAATAAAAATTTAGATGTGGGCCTTGACCTTGAGTAGCAGAGTTAAACATAAACCAGCTGTAGTGAGAGGCAGAGTGAAACTGCTGAACTGAGAGACAAAGGGTGTCTGACTGAAGTCATCAGAGGTGACCTCACAGAAGTCACCTTGACTAAGATGTTGATAGAAACGTCCTGGGAGAATATTCCAGGAAGAAGACAAAGCTTTTATAAAGATGTGGAGACACAAACACTTGACCTGGGTAGGAAATGGCAAGTCATTTGTGGCTGGAACGTTGTAATGTTTGGAAAGAAACTGGATGAAATGAGACCAAGACATAGTTTGAAGTAAAAACATTAAGGAATCCTTTGTATTTTAGAAGAATGGTGAGATTTAATTAAGGTCAACATACTTAAAATGAACAAACTAAATTTTTAAAAAAGTATAAGCTGGGGTAATATTTGTTATTTTTTAAAAAATTCTGGAAAGCCCATTTCTTTTCTTGGCCTGAGTGTGTGGGTATGAGTGACCTCAGAGTTGTTGAGACAACTTCAGTTAATATTAGTTTGAAGAAAAGCTTCTGTGGGGAAAAAAAATTGAGAAAACTACTCAGTGAGTTTTGAAATGAGCCACTCATCCATTTCATTTTTCATGAGGAAAAATGGGATCTTGTAGGTGACCAGTGGCAGAACCAAACAGGGAAATAGCACCTGGATTACTGGTCAACATTAGTTACAGTGAATTTAAAATGATTGTGTTTATGATGTCGATAAAATGGTTGAAAGTTTAAATAAAATGTGTTTAAGGAGAAAGCTTCTAGGGAAGTGATTTTTTGAGACACAAAAGGTACTTCATTTTGTTTTCCCGGATTAATAGAGTTAAGCCATGTTTGATTGTGCTTTCTCAAGAATTTGCATTTTATCCACAAACCTAGGCCCCGTTTTCCTCTTCAAAACTGTATCAGGCTACTGCTATTCAGTATTTTATTGGAGGTTCTACCCCAGGGCAATTAGGCAAGAAAAAGAAATAACATGGGCAGAGGATTTAAATAGACATTTCTCCAAAGAAGATATAAAATAGCTACTAGGCACATGAAAGATGCTCAACGTTACTAGTCATTAGGGAAATTCAGATCAAAACTACGACGAGATGCTGCTTCACGTGCAGCAGGATTGCTGTAATAAACAGCAGATGATAGCGGGTATGTACTGTGCCGTCTTATGTAAGGGCCTTGAGCCTTCACAGGCTGTATGTGTGCGGGCGTGGGCAGCGGAGCTCTTAGAACCAGTGCCCCGCAGATGCCGAGGGACAACCGCCCTGGCCAAGATAGAAACTGGAACCCTCTCATGCGCCGGTGGGAATGTAAAGTGGTGCAGTCACTTCAGAAACCAGTTCAGTTCCTCAAAAAGTTAGAGGATGCCCATATAACCTGGCAGTTTTACTCTTAGCTGTATAGCAAGACAGGTAAGCATTATGTTTACACACAGATTTGGATATAAATGCTCATTAGCATTATTAGCAGCATCGTTCATAAGTCAGAAAGTGTAAAGCCACCCAAAATGTCATCGACTGCTACCCGGAAGTGTCGTATCCATACAATGGAATATTGTTCAGCCATTAAAAAGGAGTGAAGTACTGGTACCTGCTACAGCATGAATGGACTTTGGAAGCATTATACTGAGTGAAAGAAACTAGACACAAAAGGCCACATGTCCTGTGATTCCAAGTTAAATGTCCAGAACAGGCAAATCGAGAGGCAGAAAGTAGACTCATACTTGCTGGGAGCTGGAGGGACGGGAGAATGGGTGGGCATGGGGCTTCTTTCTGGGGTGATGGAAATGTTATATTAGATGATAGGGACGGTTGCACAGCTCAGAATGTACTAAAAACTGTCAAATTGTATACTTTAAAAGAGTGAATTTTGTGGTATGTGAAGTGTATCAATTTAAAAAAGAACTGTCATTTAGTATCCAACTAGGAGACAGAAACCATATAGTAATTTGAACAGTGAAAGTTTAGTGTACAGAATTTTTAACGATACCATGATTGAAGAAACAGGGATTGGCCAGTCAGAAGTAAAGAGAACTTTAAAGAATACAGGAAGAGCATTTACTAAGTGTCTGCTCACCCCAGGGCTGAGATAGAGTGCCCCAGGATGAGCTGTCCTCTTCCTGTATCGGGATCCAGGCTTTGTTGGAGAGAGTGCAACCGTCACTCAATGGACGGTGAAGTTGCTGAGATACCAAACTTCCTGGATAAGTCTTCCTTTGGGATGCTGCACCTTGGAACTCGCTGCAAGCCACAGGAAGGGGGTGCTAGGGAAAGCTACTCATGAGGGATGCCTGGCTGGTGACACCATTGCTGGGAATGTGCTCGACAGAGTATTGGGGACGGTTGGCTGCTGTGCACTGCGGGAGCTGGGTGCTTAGGCTGCTCCAAGCTGGCGCCTGGCTGGAGCCGTACACTGGAACTTAGAAAGGAAAAAACCCTTTCTCCTGCGGTGTGCCTCCAGCTTCCTCTGCTGACAGAGCTCAGCATCTTGCCACCTGGCAGAAGAGCAGATAATTAGAGGGCCCATCTCCATTTCCACAGAGCAGCCAATTATGGGTGGATTTTGATTGGGAGGTAATAAATTGATATGTCAAGCCCTGTACCAATTTAGAATATATTGTTTTGTTGGGTTTAAAGGAAGTGTTCATCTCAAAACAGCTAAACAAAATTTTGGAGTGTATATCCCTGTAATTCTTTTAGAGAATTGTTTTAAATTACTACAAAAAGCAGTTCATGGTCACTAAAAATCGTTGAACAATATAGGAATGTTTAAAATATAAAAATGTCCCTCTTATCCCTCAGTCCCTTACCATCTATTTCATTTCTCTTAAAGATAGAACTCTTGATAACAGTTGGTGTATATTGTTTTTTTACATATACATATTTATGTAATATCTGTATATATATATTTTCCTAATAATAGAGGTTTTATACATAGGTAACATGTATGAGCTGTTGTCGATTTTTGTTAGAAGGATGTAATAATACTGGCTCAGTTGCCAAGCCCTTGTGTAAGCTAGATGAGTCACATAATCGTTCTCTTTGATTTTATTTTTTTGGGGGGGGGGGTGGGTGGTACGCGGGCCTCTCACTGTTGTGGCCTCACCCATTGCGGAGCACAGGCTCCGGACGCGCAGGCTCAGCGGCCATGGCTCACGGGCCCAGCCGCTCTGCGGCATGTGGAATCTTCCCAGACCGGGGCACGAACCCGTGTCCCCTGCATCGGCAGGCGGACTCCCAACCACTGCGCCACCAGGGAAGCCCCTCTTTGACTTTCTAAACTTCAGAAATCAAGGGGCTTTTTACTAAGGGACGTTTAAGATCTGTAACGGATGTAGTTTGATCACAGAAGGGAGGGAGAGGTAGTTTGGCAACCATTCATCAGCCAGCAGTTTTTAGTATAGCTGCACGCTCATATTTTCCCATGTGTTTTGCAAATTAAATGTCTCTTGTGTTAAACATTTATACACGTTTATGTGTATGTTGCTGGCTGCATGTACTGTTGAAATTTCAATAAAATCTGAATCGTAGAAATTTTTTCTTTTTTCTTTAGGAAAATCCTGCAAAAATGTCTCTGTACCCATCTCTTGAAGACCTGAAGGTAGACAAGGTGATTCAGGTATGTTTAAGTCCTTTAATTTAAGTACTTTTTTTTTCCCATGTACTCTGCCTATACGTTCTGGTTATAGGTGAAGTGAAGTAAGCAACTTAAATAGTAGATGTATTTGTCCGTTTTTACACTTTATAAACTTTTCAATTTTTTCTAAAGTTTTTCTAACTAAAAAGTTAGAAAAGCTAGAGATTCTTCTTCATTTCACTGTGGATTAATGGGTACAGGTTATTATTTCTTTGAAATGGGACTTAAACTCTTCAAAGATAGCTTGGTTTTATAACTAAGGTTTAAATTAAATACATTTTTTTTTTTTTCTTGTTGCGGTACGCGGGCCTCTCACTGTTGCGGCTTCTCCCGTTGCGGAGCGCAGGCCCAGCAGCCATGGCTCACGGGCCCAGCCACTCTGCGGCATGTGGAATCTTCCCAGACCGGGGCACGAACCCGTGTCCCCTGCATCGGCAGGCGGACTCTCAACCACTGTGCCGCCAGGGAAGCCCTAAATTAAATACATTTTTAAGTTGGTAAAATATACTCCAACTTCTTAGACGTTCATTGTCTTGTTTAAAATTCGTACGTTCTTTTGGGTTTTCAGGTATGACAAGTCTTGAACATAATTGTCTTCTCTGAAGTTAAAAATCATAGAAATAGGGAGGTACATGCTGCTTTAGGAAGAGTAGTAGTGTAAATGCACAATGAAAGTGTAGTGATTTGTTTCTTTTTAAATGTAAGCAGCAGACAGTTTACTTGTTCCTGCTCTAAGTGGCTGTGTTAGTACAGTTTTTCTAATTTCATTAAGTCAGAAATTTTTGTATTCCTTTATGTAAGTATTAGTTTTGAAGATAGATGCTTCTGCTTAAGAAGAAAGTTTGCAATTGGGATCAATTCTTGCAGTTCTGTAAATTTTTATTTTTCTTTTTAACTAGAGATAATTGTATTTAATGAACCCATCATGTTTCCAGTTTACTTTCAACTTGTTCTCTCAAAGTCAGAATTTTTTCAGCTGTCATTTGTTCTTCTAATTTGACAAGACAGATTGAGCTCCCTGTTATACTTCTTTATTGCTGAAATCTTTTTGATATGATAAATGTGATGAAATTCTTTCATTTTGAGTTGTTTTAGTACTTCAAAGCTTCTTCCCCTAAAGATCATTTTACTTGAGGTCTTGACCTCAGTTTACTCTAAATGAGATTTACTTCTTAACAATTATTTAATGAACAGAAAAACGTTTATTAGAAACTTGTGAGAAGAATACAAGAATACAAGTGTTTTTTAGGCAAATTGTTGGCCCTTTTAGGGTGAAAAAAACCCCAGCAAAAATAGTAACAAATGTGTAGCTGAAATTGTTCGCCGTGTAGCAGTGATTGGATAAAAATGGGGGGGGGGGATCACGACCACTTGTTTTCCATCATGGCGCCCCTGTGGATGTTGATGGGTGGTTTGTAAAATCTCTGACATCCGTTCAGCTGCAAAGGCTTTGGTGCCGGACCGTTTTAAGTGGACTGTTCGGTCATCTGAAATCTCTCTTTTTTTCTTTGGTATTTTGTCATTGTTTTTCTCATGGTTTTTATTTCCACGAAGTTCATCTGAACAGGCACTTTCTTTTTAAAAAGCTTTTATTTGAAATATTTACCCTTCAAGAATAACACTTAGGCCATTAATGTGATATCAGGGCACTAAGTGATAGGATTTGCAGATGGGTCTGAGAAAATGACTCATTTCCTTTTTGTGCTTTTTTTTTTTAGTTTTGATGGAATTGAACTTTAAATTAACCATAGTAGACTTTGAGCAGAGGTTTTTTATTTTGAGAGCAGCGGAAAGAGAAGGAAACAGTTGATACTGGCAAATGTTGGGTTGGAAGATAAAGAGGGCTATAGTCTATGTCAGGCTGACCTCTTGAAGGAGAGGCAAATTATATGGGTATTTCCATTAGAAGACTTTTTATGTCCTGAGCAGAAAGCTGGCTGCCTGGAGATGTAACAGCAAGTAAGGAGGGGGACAGATGGTTCTTAAATTCTCACTGGATTTTAAAAGATTCCTAACCCAGCCACTGCAGTCTGGGGCTGGTTTTATTTTTTTTCTTCATTTTCTATGGTAGGTGATACTTGGGCTTTTGTTTTTGAGATGCCTCTGTAAAGGTGGTGGTCATTTTCTCCTCTCCTGGCCTTTTATACCACGGCAAAACTAAATTGCAGCATTTTGTAAACTGTCTTACAATCAACGTTAGGCTTGTGGCTTTCAGTATCATACAGTCCCTGAACCTCCCTGTCCCCTGTGAGTCTTTGAGAGGAACCTGTGGTTGCCACACCTGTGCAGAATAAGCTGGTAAGAAACCGTGATTTCGTCAGTTTCCTGTCACAGTGAGCAGAGATTGACACTGGTGGCTCCATGAGCGTGGTGTCTCCACATGCTTTCTGTAATGGCAGAAACAACACGCTCTGGCATAACTGCGCTCCGTGGGACACCCCCTGCCTCCAGACACCATCCCCCTCCCACCCTTTTATTTAAAAAATAGTTTGAGATTTCAAGTATGTGTGAAATGCTGTGCTACATTTAATGGCTTATAGTCCTTAAGCCCTTATTGTACCATCTTTCTTTTGTTTTTACTACAGAATATATAGTAAGTAAATACATAACTTTGCAGAGAGCTTTTTATATATGTTCTTACTTCAGTATTCCTTGGATGAGAACAATAGCAGTGAATGAAAGAACAGAAAATAATAGATCAGTGTAAAAAAGGATCAACTTTTTAAAATTAGTAAATTCTATTTTTTCAGAGCAGTTTTTAGGTTCACAGCAAAATTAAATGGAAGGTAGTTTCCATGCCAGTGACCCCTCCCATGCACCTCCCCCCGACTCCACCTACACAGTGCATACAGTGCCCGCCTTCCCCACTGCCAGCATCCTCCCCAGCACGGTGTATTTGTTACCGTTGATTAACCTGCCCTGACACAGTACTGCCACCCCAAGTCCAGAGTTACACTTGACGTCCACTCTTGAGGTTGTTCGCTCTGTTGGTTTGGACAGATGTGTGGTGACATATGGCCACTGTTGTAGTGTCGTGTAGAATATTTTCACTGCCCTCACCGTCCTCTGTGCTGTCCATTCCCCCCTCCTTTTCCAGAATGTCCTATAGTTGGAGCCTTTTCTGATTGGTGTCTTTTGCTTAGTGATGTGCATTTAAGATTCCTCCATGTCTTTTCATGGCAAGCTCATTTCTTTTTAGTGCTGAACAGTATTTTTTTTCTTAGAGATTAGCCAAGAAGCAGTCCACTGGCCACTAACTAGCTCCTTTTAGCTGATGGTGAAAGAATTTTCATAATTCAGCATACTTTGAGTCTGTGGATATGTTTAAAATTATAAAGATTTTCATGCTGCATTTTATTTGTTTAGATTGTGACAGATTATGAAACAGTAAATATTAAAGAATGACCCAATAACAAGCATATCAGAACATTTACAATCCAGAGAGTGAGGTACCTTCAGTGGTTTTGTAGACTTTCCTTATTTAATTAAGCTTCTATCTCTCTAAGCATCTTTGGGACTACCCTTAGCATTAATTTCAGTGCTAGGTTGATATGTAGGTATAAACTTCATTACCTAATCGACATATTTCTGACTAAGTAAAAAATGATATTAGAGATGGATCTTACAACTTACTGCCAACCAGTGACATGTGTCTATTTTAGAAAGTCAGATGTATCTGTAAAGGAAAAAGGAGTTCCTTCAGTGGAATACTTAAAACGACACAGGTTGCAAAGGCAGCCCTGGGAGGAGTTCCTGGCATGCTTGCGCATGAGTCGTACTGATTAAGTGTGTGCGCACTGTCAAAGTTTCTGCAAGCTTGACAGTTATAAGTTACATTACTTTACCGTCATTTTTATGTCAGTGATACGGTATGTGTTTTGCATAGTTTGTATTATTTATGTATTTAGTATAACATAATCCCTTCTCATACTTGCTAAAATGTAGATAAAGATTATTTCAGTGGGATATGCTAAAATGGCGAAATAAATATAAGTAACTTAATAAATATTTAAATTTTTAGGTGTTTTTCTGATATATGACGTTTTATATAAATACGGTTAAGCTTTTTTCACATGTAAATAAGATACTTAGACTAATTAGCAAAAGAATAACGAAAACGTTATGTGTGTAACCTTCATTTTATAATGCATTTTGAAAATATTAATTTGCAGTAGCACTGTGAAATATTGATTATATTTAGAATGGTGCTAAGTCACGTTTTATACGATAGTGTTAAATATAACATGAAATACATTTTTGATTTGTGGATTTTCTTTGAAAAATATATTGCTGAAAGTGTTTGGAATTAAAATTTCTTGAATAAAACTAAAGTGTTTTAGTTTCTTTTTGGAATTACTGGATTTAACTTATAAATTATATAACAAGCTTAAGTATCTGTATAGCATTGGTGTTAGAATTTTCTTCTTTTCTTTTTCAGGCTCAAGCTGCCTTTTCTGCAAACCCTGCCAATCCAGCAATTCTATCTGAAGCGTCTGCTCCCATCTCTCAAGATGGAAGTAGGTTTATACTTCGGGTTCATTCTCCTTGAACACAGATACTTGTTAAGCCTTCTTTTGCTGAAATAGGGAATCCAAGATTCTTTTTTTTAACATATACAGCATGAAATGGTGGTTAAAGCTCTAATAGTAAGAAGAAAAAAAATGTTCATTTCAAAAAATAACCCTTTAATCAAGAAAGTGAACTGTGAATATGAAGGTGTGTTTTATGACTTAATGAAAATTAAGTTAAATGGAACTCGCTGGCTGAACTGTCCTCTCTTTGCAGGGCTTGGGGGTTGGTAGAGTTGAAATTTCCAGCCGCTTCCTTCTGAGGGAACTTCCCAAATCCTGGAGTCTCTCCCTGGGTTTCATATCTTCCTTCCTGGTCCCTTTTCCTTCTAAGTTCATAGGGATTCAGGACGGAACCCTTAAATAACATGACTTAAGATACAAAAGGAGTGTTAAATGGGTTTTTATGGCCTGTCATCTTAGAACATTGTTTCTTTTAGAAAATTCATTTTAAGTCACAAAGCATGTCAAAAAGAGCTTTTGGAAATAGTACCTGACTTTGCTACTCGGTTAAATACTGTCAGTATTTAAATGTACTGTTTCCAAGATTTCATTGGTATGTGCTTTTAACATTCCTAAAATGATACGACACTAAATAAATTTACAAGCTTTCAGTTTGTTTTTTGTAGTTCAGAAGAATCATTTCATAGCTGTGTTTACTGAATGAATTTAAAAAGTAGCTGACTGGACAGTGTACATTTTGGTCCGTTGTTCTTAAGTGGAGAATCAGTGGTATGTTTACAAAATTCCTAATCAAATAGGTTTAAGAAAAAGGCAGGGCAAGGTAATTTGGAAAAATTATTTCTACTCTTGAGTATTGTGAAATCTGAGGTTTCAGTTCAAATGTCTTATTTTACTTTCATCTTTAACTTTTTCTGTATTTTCCATGTCTACTTGTCATTACAGAGAGAGTGGGATTTTCCAAATTGCTAATTTAAATCCATCTTAGATTTTATAAGTTAAATGTAATTTTTTAACACAAGTAAAAGTCCATAATAACAGTTTTTGAGTATTCTACCAATGTTTTTTCTTTATTCATTTATTCGTTTATATTAGATCTCTATCCTAAACTGTATCCGGAGCTCTCTCAGTACATGGGCCTGAGTTTAAATGAAGAAGAAATGCGTGCAAATATGGCCGTGGTCCCTGGAGCACCAAGTCAGGGGGTATGTATAGTGTGATTTTGAATTATGTGAAATCATACTTTACACGTAGATATAAGCTAACTCGTCTCTGTGGTTAACTCACAAATGTATAACTTTAGCATTGACCTCTTCTCAGGGATTTTAGATTGCCTTCTAGATATCGCTTTTTATGTAGTCTACTTATGTGCTATGGCCGCTTTTCTAATTTATTAGGAGTTAAAGATTCAGATGCCTCTGACTGGTCCATTCTCCTTCATCTTCTGCATTTAGTCAGTTAAAAACCTAGTGATTCTGTTTCTACTGTGTTTCTTCTATTCATGTAATCCATTCCAGTCCTGGTATAACCCTATTCAGGGTTCCTGTACTTGTAACCTAGATTATTATAGTAGTCTCTGACTTTTCCTCTAGTAACTTCTTATATCAAACAGTACTAGGCTGCTGCTGGACTCGTCATTCAGAAATACAGGTCTGTCATACCTTCTTGTTGCTCATAATCTTCTAAGGTTAAGTCTAAAGTTCCTTGTAATTAGACACCAAATTCTCGGCTTAAATATAGTGTATCTCAGTCTTTTGTTAAGATTATTGCGGTAAGACCATAGTACTTTATAGCACTTGTCATAATTATAGGTAAATGCTTAACTTCATGAAGATGGGGTCCATGTCTGTGTTGTTGCCATGACCCCAGTGCTTAACACAGTACCTGGCTTTTATTTATTCACCAAATATTTATTAAAAACTTACGTGAGTCAGGACAGTTGGGACAATAGAAACCACACTAGATTTTTCAACAGAGATAACTTAAGAAATCACACAGGTTGAAGAATTTAAAAAAGCGAAAGTGGAACACAGATGTAATTGCAGAAGGTAGCTGCTTCTCCTAGGAATGGGGCGCTACACAGGGTGGAGGTTGGAATTATCAGAGCTGACAGGCATGGTGGAAGAGCCCCGTGACCTGGGCCTCAGAGGCGGGGACGCTGGCTGTGGGTACTGGTGCCTCTGAGGGGCTGTACCAGGGAGGCTGGTCCTGGGAGTGTCAGTAAAATCTGGAGAATGGAATCAACTGCTGTCAGCAGCGTCAAGGGATAGACTGAGGCAGTGCTGCTAGCAGCAGGGGGCAGGCAGGAGGAACGAGACACTTGCCCTCCTCCGCGTGTGCTAACCAGAAACCCCCGGCAGAGGAGTGTGTCATTTGCATGGTCAGGCTCCAGCTGCACCAGCTAGGGTGGGTTCGGAGCTGACAGTAGCTTATACCTGGTGCTGCCTGCTCCTCTGACCATTCAGTATATCCACATGCTTCCTTATAGTTTCCCTTAAAAGATGCAGTGCTTCCTAAGATTGAGGTTCAGCAAATGTTTTCTGTTCAGGGAACCATGGTAAGTATTTTAGGCTTTGCTAGCCACCTATGTCAGTACAGACAGAGCACTCGAAAGCCTTCAGGCAGACCTGAGAGACAAGGCCTAGGTGATGGGCAGACAAGGCAGAACATGGTAGCAGATGGCATTGGAGGGGTTGGCATTGGAAGGGTAGTCAGGGCCAGGTGGCCTGCAGCCTCGTAGCTGCCCTTGGCAGGAGGGGGCAGAGGTCACGTGGTGTTGATCATGCGGTCTTCTTAGTAAGAACACTAGGCAAGTGCTTAACAAAACTTGGTGGAAAGAATGAAGATTTCTTTTCCAAAAGCAAGGCCGCTGCAAAGCTGCTCCTTTTTTTGTCCTATATTCCAGCGAAACGAAATAATTCATTTGCTTCTTAAGTTTTTCTTTTTCTATCCTATTACCTAATTTTCCTGTGCTCTTATAGCTATAATCATTGACTTTTTGTAATTCTTCAGAAGTCACATTTTCTGGTATTGTGTTCTAATTTGTAGTATAGCTCTGTGTGTTACTCCGATAGACCATCAACTTTGGAATATGGTATCATAATTACCATGGATTCTGAACAAAAAAATTTGCAGTCTGTGGTGTGTGTGTAACTGAGGTTCCTCTTTCCCTATCATTGCTGCTCTGAGCATCACAATTATTAGGTGGATCAGAGCTTTTTATGACAGATTCCAATTAAGAAGCCTTGGTAATAAATAAGCTCTTCCCTCTCTTCCCTCACTGTCTCTGGTAGAGGGTAAAGGGTCCACTTAAACAATAAACTGATTTTGGTCAAGAAAACTTGAAAAAATGAGGAACTTGAAACAATGGTACCTGACAGAGTCCCTAGTATAGCTATTCTAGGGCTGTTTGGTGTGTCTGTTCAGTTGGTTAATCCATAGATGTTTATCACTGGGGACGAGAAATACCGTTTTGACTGTCTTGTGTGTGTCAGCACTCGTATAACATGCACTTTTCATCCTCACAGTGGAGCTGTGAGCTAAGAAGTTTTCCCCTTTTATAGAAACTCTGAAAGCGTAAGTAGATTGTTGAAGATTGTTGAAGAAGGCCATATAAAAGAACCCTCTGGAAAATGCTGAGTGAATTTCAAAAGTATGATATGGCCTTTTTAACGTTCAAGGATAATTTGGCTTGAAGACAAGCCAAAGTACACATGGAATAGATGCCAGTGAATTCACGAGGCAGCAGAGAGAGTCTCTTGGAGACATAGATGTGGGAATAAGTTACCTGAAGAATTAGTTTAAAAAAAGTCATTTTTGCAAAAAATCAAATTTTATCTGAAGGAAATAATTTTCAGATTATATTTTGGGAAACCACAACTGAATATATTCAAGTAACTTATCATTTTAGAGTTTTTCAGGGAGAATGTTTCTAAATATTGACAGGTTGTGTATGTTTCTGTCAGCAGTTGGTAGCAAGAGCTTCCAGCATGAACTATATGGTGGCTCCTGTAACTGGTAATGATACTGGAATCCGCAGAGCAGAAATTAAGCAAGGGATTCGGGAAGTCATTTTGTGTAAGGATCAAGATGGAAAAATCGGACTCAGGCTTAAATCCATAGATAATGTGAGTATTTTGTACTGTTTATTTGAATTTGTCTATTATTAAGTGATCAACGTTAGAATAATTTAAAATGTAGGTGCTTTAGTTTTAATGGTGCTCTGTGATCGAGAGTATTTTAAATCCAACGTTCCACTTGGAGACGCCGCCCTGTTCTGAAGAGGCAGAGTTGGGACTTCCAGCATTACCCTGAATGAAATTTTTTTTTCTTTTCTGAGTCCTTTTCTTGGAATAAAGTTGACTAGTCTGCCTGTAAACATTAACATTTTATACAAGTAGAATTCTGGCATTGAAATCGGGCAACACATGAGGAAGTTAAGGGAAGACTGACCAGTGAGAATCAGTGGTCTTACGATGTGTGTTTTTAAACTAAAAGATCATATAATTTGTTGTAATGTGGTTTTACAGGTCTGTTATTTCCATCCTTCAGTTTGGGTTTAATGAGGCATTTTCTAGGCAACAGTGACTTTCAAAAGTACCTTAGAGTTACTTTTGCCTCTCACCTTACCAGACTGAAGAAATTAAACCCGGTTACTCTGAGGAAACATTCAGGAATGTTGAGGATGTGCTGAGTCTTCACCCCGATTTGTGGGTTTAGGCATTATTTATTGGATTCCTTTTCAGTCTTCTTAGCTCAGTGTGACCACCTTTGCACATAGAAAAGGATGGTGTGGCCCATGGCGGAAGGTGGCTGAGGGCGTTGTGTTTGTCTTTGCACACTCGTGGCTTGTGCAAGACACGTGAGCTTGCTGCTCTGGGAAGCTCGGACTTCTCTGCTCTCCCTTCCTGTTCGGTGAATAGAGTACACTGCTGCCCCTTCCTCTGTCCTAAAAAAAGGAGACCACACTCTTCACAGCCCGTCCCCCATAGCAGTTATCCTTGCAGTGGGTTTGTCCACTTGACTGAAGCTCATTGGTCCAGCCACTTTGCTGGGTGCCGCCTAGTTTCAGGCCCTGCCCTAAAGTGTAAGACATGTGACATCATGTCTGCCCCAGCTTAAGGTGGGAGAAAGGATCCAGCCTTATAAATGCTTTCGTATTGATGTCTTACCATGCTTCCTTTTCCTTTATGCTACTTATTTATATTGTGCTCAGCATCTGAGATTGAGAGTTTACATAAGTAAAAACATCCCTGTGGGTTTAGTTCTCAGGTACTCGTACTTGAGTTTTCTGTATTTACTTCATAGTAGATTCTTTTAACTGGAATGGTATTGAATGTGCCCACCTTTTTAGGCTGTTAAATCTAATCGTAGTGATTATGCGTAATTTAGCAAGTGGGCAAAGGAATTCTTCAGCTCAAAAGGTAGAGTTCTGACCTTAGACTATCATTTTTTAAACTGTAAGAGAAATCACACAACTTCTAACACTTTACTCCCTTTCCCCCTAAATAATGATCAGGTGCTAATACCTGTTTGGTATTTTATCAAACTCATAGAAGCTTACATTTATTACAGTAATCTGACTTTATTTTCCTTAGTCTTTTTATTCCAAGATGGGGGGGGGGGGTGATGGAGGTTGGTCGGGTGGGTCATGATTTGAGGTAGAAATTACCACTGAGATCTCACTTTTTTACCTATTTCTTAGGGTACTGCCTTGATAAAATTTTCAGTTTCGTTCTTGGGGATAATGACACATACTTACTCATGTAATTTTTTTATTTTTAAATAGGGTAGATTCCTAACCAGTTGGTTCCTAATTTTCCAGCATTTTTAAACATGTAACAGTGGTAAATGACCGGTGATTTTCCTGTTCTCTAGGGTATATTTGTTCAGCTAGTCCAGGCCAATTCTCCGTCCTCGCTGGTTGGTCTGCGATTCGGGGACCAGGTGCTCCAGATCAACGGGGAGAACTGTGCTGGCTGGAGCTCCGACCGAGCACACAAGGTGCTCAAGCAGGCTTTTGGAGAGAAGATCACTATGACCATTCGTGACAGGTGAGCTGACTGAACGGTCCACGGGGACACTCAAGACTCGTTTGCCTTTTCTTGGGCTTTTAAGATTCTGTGAATGTAATATTTTGTTGCAGAAAATGATCAAATGTTTCTGATTAGCCTTCTACCCTTGCAGTTGTGCAGTGCAGATTTTTCTTACGTAGTTTTGACTTTTTAAAAATAGCATTCTGGTTTAGCATACACTTTATTCCAGAGCTTATAGAAATCGGTCCTCTAAGAAGTCACTTTCCTTTCTTAATCTGTTTCTCTAGAAAATAGAAAAGAAGGATAGAAAGGTAACTAAGCAGGCGTCCTGCTCAGGGTAGACACGTGGTGCAGGGCCCCTGCAGAACTCCACGGGGTCTGCAGGTTCAGGAAACCCAATCTGGCCTTTTGGGTGGATGAGGCTCTAGTTGTCAGGTGGGAGGATGGAACGCTTTCTTTAGCCTGTTTATTTATATTGGAAACATTCAGCACACGTACTGCGGGCTTCCTTCCCGGCCACATGGGCGTTGAGAGTGGACCTGTATCACATTGTTAGCTTTAGGGGTTTTATTCGTCTTAGTTAAATTTGTTTTATCTACCTGTGTGTTTCCATATCACACATGGTAGGTGGTAAACATTTTGTAGAGGAATGCCACCTTTGCTTTATATCTAAGGAAAATTTCAAAAAGTAACTTGGACTAACAGGAAGACATGACTGTTGTGAAGTTTATAACGTGCAGTTCGTATTTTGTCATGAAACCTGTGCAGTCACGTGGCAGCAGAGTGGGCAGGTGCAGCTGGCGGGCGGCCGGTGCACGCAAGCACACGGCCGTCTTAACCACCTTTTCTCCTAAGGGGCTGGGGAACTTCCGTCTCGCTGCTTCTGCGGTTCTTCTAAAACAGAGCAAAAATATCTTCTATAAAGTTTTCGAAATCAAGATGTGAGAAATATTTTAAAGGTTCTAAACAAAATAAGTATTTCCTAAGAAGTTAAAAAAGATAAAAATTCATTTTTAAGACTGATTTTTGTTCAAACCTGTCTTCATGTTAAATTACAGCGAGTACTGTAATTTCAAGGGAAGAGCATATTGATAACTGCATGAAGGTTAAGTCTTTGATGCTTATAAGAAGGAAATCGTAAGGCAGGCAAACCGTAATGGAGAGAATTTCTTAAAAAGTCATCTTTTGCACTAAGATGTACAAAATCCGTGCCAGACATACTAAGTAGCTCTCATTGGAAACAGTGAGTTTATCGTGACAAAGTATCCAGTATGTCAGAATGGAGATCCATGAAAATGCTTACTTTGGAATTAAAGTTTTAATTGAAGCCATTATGTTTACAGGCCCTTTGAACGGACAGTTACCATGCACAAGGACAGTACTGGACATGTTGGCTTTGTCTTTAAAAATGGAAAAATCACATCCATAGTGAAAGACAGTTCTGCAGCTAGAAACGGTCTTCTCACGGAACACAACATCTGTGAGGTCAACGGACAGAACGTCATTGGACTGAAGGTCAGGAGCACAACTTAGGACTCACTCTGCTGCAGTTTGATTTTAGCAAAGCGTCTTTTTCATTTGCCTATTTCACTGGTGCTGTTATTGACCAACCTGTAGAAGTTCAGTGGGGTCCTGGGCTCCGGCCGAGCTCTCACGCTGGGGCTACCACCTGGAATTGTGGCTTCTGTAGTGGGGGGCAGGGGCTAGGCTAGATCTCTGAAGTCCTTCGACCTAGAACTGTGGAGACCTGAGCACTGAAGATTTTGAGGACACTCTGGATGGATGAATGATTGCTTTTTTCAATCCAGGAGTTGTAGGAAATGCGCAATAGTTTACGTTCAGATTAGTACTTCATTCTTATGGTTTATTCCCTCCACATATTCCTAAATAGAACTATTTTGAGGTCTAAAGGTTTTCATTAAGACCTGCTCGTTTCATTAACCTGGGTTAAGAATACAGTTAGCCGAGGGGCTATGGTAATATTGTATATGGGGACAGTGATTTGATCGTACGTGATGAGAAGAATGATTTGTTGGCTGATATTTTCAACTCGGTTTACTTAGCAGTTACCACTCATGAAATTGTGGTTCTGTTGAATTGAAACTTGGTAAAGAAACTAGAAAAACTATAAATACCAAGGGTCAGGATTTTAGAGACATTAGCAAAACCTCAAAGGACATATATATATTTTTTTACCAACAACAGTTTTGTATGTATTTAACAAAGCTTCAGTAGAATTAATTTTCATTGTGTGTTTTCAACAGGACTCTCAAATCGCAGACATACTGTCAACAGCTGGGAATGTAGTTACTATTACAATCATGCCTGCTTTTATATTTGAACATATTATTAAACGGTAAGTAGACAAATTCTTCAACCTGATGCTACGTTCACGTGACCTCATAGAAGCGACCTCATAGAAGCACTGTGCTTCTTGTAATTCTCAAACCTTTGGGGTTTTTTTTTACCTAAGAGATGACATTGGCATTATCTAGAAATTTGAAGTAAATTATTTAAATCAGAGGAGTTGGTTGGTAAGGATGACCCCTCACAAATTCCCAAGTATGGAATAAAATCCACTTCCTAAATTTTGATGTTTCCTAGTAGAAAAAGGTACACAGCAGGGGTGGGCAGGCTCTTATCTGTTTTCAGTGAAATCGTAGTTGTGGTCTGCCTGCAGCTCCTCCGCTCGGTAGACACCTGCTTGTGGTTCATGAAGAATTCTTGCATGTGGGGTGTTGGAGGAAGTCTTTTTTTTTTTTTGGCTGTGTTGGGTCTTCATTGCTGCACGCGGGCTTTCTCTAGTTGCGGCGGCTTCTCGTTGCGGAGCACGGGCTCTAGGCACGCAGGCTTCGGTAGTTGTGGCACACGAGCTTAGTTGCTCGGTGGCATGTGGGATCTTCCCGGACCAGGGCTGAAACCCGTGTCCCTGAACTGGCAGGCGGCTTCTTAAGACTGTTCCCCCAGGGCTTCTCTGGTGGCACAGGGGTTGATTCCCGGGAGCATCTCAGGAGGCAGCAAAGCGTGTGGGGTGTGCTGTCCGTCCTCAGGAATGGGACTGGAAAGCTGAGGAGGGAGAATAGAAAGGGGGCGGCCAGGGCTGTCTGCCCAGCAGCTTCTACACTCTGGCTTGGCTCAGCCAGCGTAGAATTCTTCTTGCAGAATCTACCTTGCATGTGGAAACAGAATTTAAAATATTAAAAACATACCACCTGTAATGGTTTGTTTCAGCTTCTGGGTAGAATGCAGCTAGCCGCTCTTGGGGTCTCGGCGGGGAGAGTTGTCAGGGCTGATCCTGCAAGAGCTCACTTTTTTTAAACCAGTAACAGCTCCCACCCACTTCCTGCCAACAAGTGGCATTGTCGTCTTCTGTCTTCTGAACTATCCAGCCTTGATATACAAAGAAACAAGGACTTTTCTGTATCTTATCTAACTTTACTAGCCAGGATGCAGATAGCTTTTCACATTGGGTATTTTGCAAACTACTAGATTAAAACCTTCCCCCGCATTCCAACCTGATGCTCACAGCGCTAGTCTGGATTGGAGTTTTCTCGGTATTTAATAGAAGTGGCTCTCTTGTAGGATGGCCCCGAGCATTATGAAAAGCTTGATGGATCACACCATTCCTGAGGTTTAGAAGCCGTGGCGCAGTGGAAACTTCACTCAAGTTCTCCCGTTTACATCTCTGGCAACGTACCTTTCTATTATGCACATGAAGCTTTCTAGGAGCCAGCAGGCGTATTTCCTGTCTTACAGCAGGGCTGGGGATCTTACTGTCTGATCCGGTATCTTGTTCAGACTTCAAGATAGTTGTAGCCTTATCCTGATTTTACGGTTGAAAGACTTACTTTTGTAGACTAGTGTGTCTTTACTGGAGAGACCGACTGATACAGGCTCAGCTCTGTTGGAACCAGTCACCTTCAGTCCTGGGTATCAGGTAGTGCTGTTCATATCACTTTAGTTCTATGGTATATGTGCATTTTTACTGTTACCCATAGTACATTTAGAATGATTACTTTTTGTATAAAACACCAATTAAGTAACACTGGTTTCATTCCATGTAAGCATTATTATATAGTGTATGTAGGCTGCAGGAGACTGTATTGACTATCATTACGTTTTAACTACCTTTACTTAAATATGCAGGCTGCAGGAGACTGTATTGACTATCATTACGTTTTAACTACCTTTACTTAAATATGCTTGGACTGTCACCATAACAACGTTAAGCCTCTAGAATAAAAGCCAAACTCTTGCTGCCTTTCTCAAGCCCCCAGTGCAGTTCTCTGTTAAACGGACACTAGCCCAGAGCAGTGTAACGGTACATGCTGAGCACAGCACAGCTGCTTAGCTGCATTTGAGATTTTCTAGTCCTTGTGTAATGGAAACTTTTCCTCTCAGAGTTACTGGTATCACTTTCTGAGAAATGAATCACTATATATGTAATGTAAAAATTCTTGTGCTCAATAGGAGAAACTTTGACTTCTTTTCCATGTGTAGATGAAGTGGGATAAGACCTGGTTTTAGGCACTTACATGTAACCCAGCTGCTCTGGGATGTCTTAGAATGCTATCATTTGTTCCATTTCCTGACCCCTCCCTGCAAACAGAATGACAGAGACACTTCATCCTGATTTGTTTTTCCTTCTCTTTGGTTTATGACTATTCTATTTTAATTGAAAATGTATAAATAAAGTTAGAGTTAGTCTGTCTGTTATTGCATCATTGGAAACATTAGGCCTGTGGGAGAGAGTCATCTCCCAGAGCGGCCGCCACCTGGGAGCCTGAGGAAAGCCCCTCTGTACTGAGAGGGCCTGAGTGTCGGGAGAAGGGCCTCCAGGCGGGAAGCTCCAGGCGGGAAGCTGGACTGCACTGAGCCTATTGCTTCCCTGGGGGCACCCAGGCCGAGTCATAGTTAACATTCAACATACACCAGGGCTTGTAAACGGTGCAGAAAGACCTTACGTCGCATACTTGCTGTGGTTCAGAGGTCGTCAGTGCTACTGCTTCACAGCTTACCTCGTGCGAAATTCAGAAAAGCCAAGCACGGCACGTTTTTCAGTTTGATTCTCTACCTTGTTATCTGGACTTCGGTCTGAAGCTAGTTACTGAAGCAGAGGATGATGTTCACGGTACTCAGTATGGTTTTCTGGAAGGATCAGTACTTGAAGTACCCAGTACTTTGTTAATAAATCATTTAAATGAGAATATGAAAACTGCTTTCATTACAGAAAAATATTTTAATGTCATAGAAAAGGTGGGCATTTAATAGCTATAATGAAATAAACCGTTCCCAAGAACTGCTAGTCCTTCCCCAGGTTCTTAGAACCTGGGGCCAGGCGGTTATAGAAAGTAAGCACTCTGTGGAAACACACATCCCAAAACCCAGCGGGCAGCAATTGTGTCGAGTAGGAAGACATGACGGAGTGACTCGGCAGCAGAGAATACTCACATTTTCTTGGAAAGTCCTTAAATTGTTCAGTGCTTTTGGGAAGTTTCCCCAGCTGGTTTAGTATCTCTTAGCTACGCTCTTTGCCACCCAAACTTGTCTTCTGACCATCGTCATCCTGGGCTGACCACCTGCCTTACAAATGTTAATGTTTTTCTCCCCAGTACTGCCACATCTCCATCTGCCTTAGAGCATGACAACTAAGGGCTTTCAGTGAAGTCACCATGATTTATAAAGTTTAAAACCACAAATTTCTCATGTGGTAAGACTTCTAACTACTATAATTGCACGTTCACCAGGTCGTTTAAAAGTTTGGTTTAAAAAAGCATTACATAGAGTTCAATAATATTCGAGGAAAAGGCACTTAATACTGCAATTTCCAGAACATAATTTGTCTGTCTTCCCCTCCCGTGATGACACTGCTACACTGGTCGTTCATCCACATACACGTTACGGCACCTGCGAGAAGAGACGTGTGGTTAGGGGGTGAGCTGACCAGGAGGTACCACGTGGTCTTGTCCTATAATACAATCTGCATGAACTCAGAATAACTACTCAGTACAAGGAACTTGGGAGGAATAAGAAACTATTTGAACGTAAAGCTAAAGCAACTGGGAATTGCAGAACAGAATACAAATATTATATACACCTGTGACAAAAGTCAGGCAGCAGATGAGAGAAGTAGGGAATTGGTGTGAGTTTGCTGGTTTACTTCCATTTCTATCAGGAGTCAAAGTGTTATTTAAAGCTTGTGAGCTGGGGAAGAGAGGCATAGACAAGTCACTTCAATGTATAATGTTACGAAGAAATAACCACACACAACAGTGACAGAGGGAAGAGAGTGAAGGTGGGCAGTCAGTAGATACTTATAACCATAGCCATTACACGAATTAACCATAAATCCTCCAAGTGCTTGAGAGGAGAGGAAGACGTGCAAATGTAAGCAGAGTGAAAACCCAACAGGCAGAACGGTGACGCACACAGCAGCGCATCCTTCACTAATGTGAGACATCTCCAGAAACCCAGCTGCAGAGTCTTCCCAGGATGAGGCCCGGGGGGGGGGGTCTGTGGGAGGAAGACTTCATTTCCACTGTGACTCATTACTTTGGTACCGTTTCCATTACTTTCGTATTGTTTCTTTCTACCGTGTGCATGTATTAAATGCACATACAGCTTTTACTTGGCTTTTAATTCTCCATGTGGAAGTCAAAAACTTCCATTCTGGAGTCGACTGTCTCTGAAACCAAGAGCTGCAGGTGGCCTGGCCAGCCAGGATCTGGAGGGGAACGTCCACGGCACAGAGGACACACGGGGAGTTTTCTGCTTGAGAAGGGCTCGTCTGCTGGTGGGAAAAGCAGGTTTGGTGGAGTCAGGTCAGCGGCAGACAGCTTACCTGTGTGGCCCCGGATTCTCTCCCTGATCTTCCCCCCGAGAAGGTCCCAGACAAGCAGCTCACCGGACTGACTCCCGGATAAAACCGAATTTCCGTCCCAGAGAAAGCACCTGCAAGAAGGATTCAGAGATCATCCTTTCATCGTTGGTCACGAAGGAAGGGCCAAAGCGGGCCCTGCGCCGTGATCGTGAGCCCGTCCATAAATGTCTTCACCACGAGTAACTCGAGAAAGTGCACCTCTGGGGCTCTGCCGAAGTCATAGAAGAGATGAGCATTCCCGTCTGCACGTCGACGACGTTTAGACAGCCGTCTTCTCCTGCGCTGAGGACGTGGCGACTGTCTGTAACACAAGGCGGAACGTGGATACGGGTTACAGCTTCCCAAGTGTGGTTTAGATTAACCTGAGATTTTACTGCTCAATCCAGGGGCCAAATGTTCGCTTGAGCTGCAGCTGCTCGTTGTATTTAACCAATGATGACGAGCCTCTCCCTGAAACGCTTCTGTTTCTAAGACACTGGGCTGATGACCCTTTGGTGTGAATTCATTTACACCTTATAATTTCTCCAGTGAGGTGAGGAATTAAGAACAGTACCTGATACTGCTTTTCTGATACCAATACCACATATACCGTATTTTCCCATGAAGCAGCCTTACCCATAGGCAAAACCTCTTTTTATCAGCAAACAGTGCTTTTCTTTTTATATTCTTATTATATATTTCAAAATAATAATTCCAGTTCCCCTGGTGTTATCTGTATTAAAAAGGCTAACACTACCTGGGCTGAAAGCAGTATCACATACAGTCCCTGAGTGACATGGAATCTGGTGCAATACGGTGGCTGCAGTGAGGTCCCAGATAGTCACTGTGCCTTCTCTGGTGCCTGAAACCAACAGTGTGCTTGCAGCGCTTAAACTGATTGTATCGACCTAGAGGAGAAGACAGACGGTACTCCATTTAGAATCATGGTCACTGAGCTGCGTTTCCCCAGCCCATTCCTTCAACACCACCTACTGAATGATAATGCGTTTCCCCAGCCCATTCCTTCAACACCACCTACTGAATGATAATTCATTTAAAAGTGAAATTCTTCATATGCCAGTGAATACAATGAAGTATTGCTGGGGTAAACGTAACACTTTTCAAAAGAGCCTAAAATTGACAGTCTCAGAATGATAATAAGTAATAAGAGTAATAAGTGGTAGCAGGGTGCCGGACTGCCCGAAGCACAGCGGCTCCACGATCACCCGGGGAGGTGGGCATCTCTCGGGGTTATCCTCACACGCCCTTCTTGAACTACACAGTAAATAATATGTCTCAACCCCAGTCAGTCTGCTGACCGTGCAGATTCGGCACCAGTTCACAACCTCAGAGGAAAGGCAGTAGTACCGCAGGCCACGGCAGGAGATGCAGCCGTGACCTCGTGGAGACAGAGCGGGTGAACAGGACGCGGTGCCAGGCTTGTGCGCCCGCTGCACGCATCATGCAGGCAGGTTGGTGTCCTCACCCTAGACAGAGGGCCCCCTTTCCACCCTTGGTGTCAGAAAACACATCTAGTTGCCCCGATAGTGTGAGGATACCCAGGTATTCAACGTCGTGCTCAGACACTGGTCTTTTGGAAGTCTAGCTGGACGGTAGCTAATTCTCAAAGAAACAGCAAACTGGGGGAAAAGAGACAAAGACGACTTGGAAGCCCAAAGAGCTCCAAGAAACGAGCTTGCCTGTGCTCTCCCCTCCGATGAGCAAAATAATAAGCAAAGCAAAAGATCGTAAACACACAAGTGAAGCCAAGAACCTCCACCACCCCGGACGGGTCAGCTGGGCTCCCGTGCAGCTCTGTTGCCGGTACTCACGCTGACATCGTGCTCCAGCTCGGCCAGCAGGTCAAATTGGTGTCTCCTGGAGCCTGGCATCTCTGCAGGAACCCCGGACCACACCTAGGACGGGACCCATTGCAGAAGGTAGTTGCAAACACTATAAAAGCATTTCTAACACGTGCAGGAAAAACTCTCCTGACTGACCAACTCCCCAGCTGCCAACAAAATGAAATGTCGTGAGGCTCGGTCCCTCTGCCACATGCCTGAGCTTTTATTCTCACCACCACATGCTTCCCGAGAGAGTGCTGTACCCGTGTCTGCTTCCGTCTCTTGCACTTGCTGCTGTGACTTAAGTATTGTGTGAACTAAAGAAATCAGAGTGCGGAAGTGTTGTGTCTATTAAGGTTTTGAGAAAACTCAAAAAGGCAAGTCACCAAAAAAATTTACTGAAATCACACGTAGGCAAGAAAACTTACCTACCATAATGTCCCCCTCAGAGGCGGGGGCACAGAAATGATGAAAACGTCTTGAAGAAATTCTAATGGTTTTAGGTTCTTGCTTTCTGTTTATATAAATGCAAATTGGAAACCAAAGAGGATGAATACTGCTGTGGTTTATGCAATAAAGTTGTGCAGAATTCCAAAGAAAAGGCCAAGTATGGTCCCACGTCAATAATGGTGAAGGGCTGTGTGGTTCTGTGTTCTGACTTTAAATACAATGTCTTGCCTTACAGTGATTCTCCACTTTAACTTGATATTTACTGATCAACTGCTAGTTCCTTAGCTGCGTGAGGTAAGGGGGCTGCTGTATGTTTCCCTCTAAGTCCGCTGTCTAATGAACCACCCAACCCCCAGCGGAACACACAGGACAGACTCAGGAAAACGTCCTCTTATATTAAGATGTGCACACACTAAACACAGGCAATAACCTTCCACATCCTTATACGTCACTCACACTTTGTGAGAGTGTGACAACACGTCAACAGCAGGGAGCTGAATGGCTTATAATATCTGTATTATCCAAACATTTTAACTTAGAAATTGTATATAAACCTTCACAGTAGAGTCCCACGACGCCGAATACAGCCTGTTGTCATGCCAACAGATCTTACTAACAGCATCATCGTGTCCCATTAACGTGTCTTGGCGTCTTCCAAATGCAATGGAATAAAAATAGCTAACATAAAAGATAACGAGAGCTATTAAGACAGCATTCCAGCTTAACGTTAACACTCTTAAATACATCTTCAAGAAACTTTAGAGCATTTAATTCTATACCTACTAAGGCCCACTGGAATTACAAATTACTTGTTCTCATGTTATTAAACCAAATACTCAAAATGTGAATTGAAAACTAGAGATTTCCAGGTCTGGCTCATCTGTGTTTTTACCTCAATTTAAAAACTTAGAGGAAAATAGAGTCTGACTGGAGAAATTACTAGATTCAGGTAATCACATCCAAACCCAACTGTCCTCATCTGTTCCCTTTTGAAAACAACGGGAGATCCGCCCTCTCCTGCTTCACGTTCACACAGGGAGCTGCACTGCGTGTGGAATCGCGAAGGGGCCCGCGCAGATACATACACATTGTTATCCCACGAAGAGCTTACGACAGTGGCATCTCCTGGTAAAAGTAAACACGATGATAAAGCCTGAAATACAGATGATCCAACATTAATAATTTACAAAACTTAGTGAATCCTTAATGGGGTAAAGCTATCTTACAGGTTCCCCCCCCCCAAAATTCATGCTCAAATTCCGTTCATGTTGGCCTTCCTCATATTCATGAAGTTTCTTTTCATCTGGCTAATTCCAGGTGCCTAGTTTCTTCCCAAATGTAGGAAAGTCAAAAGGGTGTCGAGTGCACGAGGACCTAGCCTGACGGTCCTCACTGCCCTGGGCTGAGGGACCCCTACTCACTTCAGAGTGAGTCGCGAGGGGTGCAGGTGGGGACTGTCCTCAAGAATCCGAACACCGGCTCTGGGTTACAAGACTCAGGTGGGGAAGGAAAGCTTCCAAAGGTCTTTAGGGAATTTCAGAATCTTTCGGATGCTTTACATTAACCATAAAATGTATTTTTTCAGAAGAACTGATTTTCTAGTATTAGGTATCCTATCAACTCAGAAACGCATTAAGTTCTGTAAGCAGCACACAGACATTTAGTCTGACAGTTCCAAAAAAGGCAAGATTTACTAAGGAGAATTCTACTTTTTAGGTTACAGATAAAACCACAATAACATGAGAAAGGCAGCCTGAAAAAATTTCTAGTTTAGAAGGAATCTATCTAAGGCATTCTGAACAGAAATAAGCCCGATTGTTTGGGAAGAAACAAACTCATATATGCGTGTATATAAAACAAACTGCTACATGAAATTCCACCGTAACACTGATGTGAAATTAAAATGAACTCACCATATTTGAAAATGATATACTTCTTTGTAGCATCTTGGATTCTTTGGAAAACATCTTCAAGGTGGAATCTAATTTAATAATGACAAAGCAAACATATAAGAAAGATTTCCTGACCCTTACAGGTGACCAGCACACGCAGAGGTAACAGGCGAGGTGACCGAGGGTCATGTCCCCGATGAGGACGCTACGGTCTGTGGAATTCTATGATCTGCGGCTCCACAACAAGGAGGTCAACTTAAAGCCATGACCGAAGGCAGATTTAAGCCTAATTACTGACAGAAGCTAAAGAGGAAGAAAAGAGCAATTTTAATATTAAAGAAAACAAAAAGATTCGGGCAATGTTTTTCTTTTTCACATAGCCCAATTATGGTGTGATATCCTTGTAGCGTATGACCATTCATGGAGGAGAAGCACTAACTTTCTAAATAATAATAAACTAGAGATTACAATGTCCAAGCTCTTAATTTCCTTGCCGAACAGAAGCTTTTAGAAGTGCATCAAGGTAAACCTCTTAAGCGACAAGACTGCAAATTACAATGTGCTCCAAACATCCCATATTTGCAATATGTAACATTAGGGTTCCTAATTTGAAAACATACAGCATGATAAATAAAAGGTCAGATGAGCTTCAAATAATGTCTTCTGCATAGTAAAATCTAATATTTCCACCTAATTTTTGCCAACACCAACACGCAGACGTGCACTGGGGCGTCCTACAGAAAACAGTCAGCCAGCCTGGTGTGTAAAGCTGCTTTTCTCAAAATCAGAGGTTCCCTCTCGTACTAGAGGTAATCACATCAGAGGCTGCTGAGAGCTGCCTCAGCAGGTGATGGGGTCACCCGGGGGGTCACCCATAAGCCTGGACACACACCACCTCTGAGGAAGAACCGTAACTGGGGTGATCGTCAGGGTATACGTGAGTCAGTAATGCAGGTGGAAACAAAAATGCGTATAGGTCAGCAACATGAGTTATTAACGCTGAAGAAACAAACAAAAACCAAAAGCTTCTGACTGAAAAGAACCCCCCATGCCCCCTTATTTGGCAAGTTCACAAAGAAGTGCTAGGCTTACTAAGCCTCAGAGGGTTAAAGCCCTGATGCTCGTAAAACTCACGGTTTACAAGGTCAGACCAGTACAGGGAACGGGGGGATTTAAACCATGACAGACAAATCCAGCCAAGAATGCCGGCTTTGCTAACAGGTCAGGGTCTTGTCTCGGGTGGTAGCGCCGGCAGGAACCCTGGCAAAGCGCGACTGCTCACTCGTGCCACCGCGTCGTCGTCTCGGTGACCCTGGAGTGGCCCCGTGTGTACGCCGCATGTGAACCAACTTTGGTCCACAGTGGGATCATTTTCTGTGCTTTGTGGAAAACTGTTTTACGCGATCTGAGATCATAGTTGAAAGAGAAAGGAAGGACGCTACGGATGTGAAGCCACGATCCCAGAATCTGAGAGCAGTAACTCTGATTTGCCGGAGGTGTGCAGCTGGACAGCACCTTTCCTTAACTTAATGGATGAAAAGCAGAATTTCCTACAATGACGACCAAAGCGCCAGTAGCCAGCCACTCACAGCCAGGTACGAACTCTGTCCACCAGGCAGCTAAGCGACTCGCTTCTCATCTCCACTGCCCCCCGCGCGCCTGTCAGCACGCTTCAAACGGGACGGGGACCAGATAAACAATGACTAATGGTGTAGACGGCCGGGAAGGCTTGACGCTTAGCCCTTTCGTAGGATCAAAACAGTGAAGTTCCAGTGTGTCATCAAGCTAGTTACAAGTCCCATCAAACAGCCACTGCAGGGCTTCTGCGTGACTTTGGTAACGTGTGAGACATTAACAATGTGTGAATTAGATTTCGAGCTAAATCCTCCAGTCAACACCCAGAAGCACACACCCAGTGACGAACGTGAAAAGCTGACAGCACGTGTGCCCTATGCTGGCGACGCCCCGTGCGCGGCTCAGCCCTCAGGGCGGGAAAGGTCCCAGCACACGCTCTCGCCGCCCCAAATCCTGGGAAACCTTATCAGCAACAGAGAGGGATTTTTCATTACTGTTTTTGGCTAATCACAGTGGAATGTTATGCAATACACAACAAACTAACTGCTCAAAGTTTATTTTACGTGGAGGCAGCACATGAAGGTACAGTCCTGGGCCGAGTCAGGAAACTTGGACATTTGTGATTCCAGGTAACCCCCCTTTCAGGTAGGAAAACCTACCTTGTGAGGTTGTAAAGACAGACGACCCACTGCGAGAGACTGCTATTCCAGTGACTGCCCTGTTGGAAAACAAGGTTTCATAAATTACCATCAACCACGTGCTAGGACACCGGTCTCCTTCAAGGCCTTGATTTAATTCAGCCCAAGTGTCTGTCACAGCTCGTTCTGCGGGACCTGTCCCACCTTCCACCAGGCGTTAGCAAGTCATGGCTTGGCAACTTCTAATTCTGTCCTGACAACGCCTGCGGCTGGAAAACACCCCGACCCTTAGCTCCCGGGCCGCCCTGCACGAAGGCTGCCTGCCCACGTCTGCCCCCTAGATAACCAGTAATGCTAGGTGACCGCCACCCAAACCACTGACGCCCCCCGAGCAGTCACTGCACTCGCTTCATCACTTAGCATCTGGCCAATGACAATGTCACCGTCTGGTCCTGAGGCAGGCTGGGACGGGGACCCTTGGCCACAGTGCCTGCACCCGGATGAACGTCTCCTCCGGCAACAGATACACAAAGAAACTGTGAAACTATAAGGAACTGAAAATAACTGCGTGCGTGCGCAGCTGGGGCAAATTATGGGCAGCAAGATACAAAAAGACCAAAAAACCCAACTGCCACTTCTGAAGAGCTGGGAGCAAAAGCAGGGCACTGCCCGAGCCCCCTGCACACAGCACCACCCAAGGGGTGGGCACGCCACCTAAGCCCCGCTCCCGCCGACCCCTGGACACACCCCTGCCCTCACCCCAAAGAGGAGACCAGCTCGCCACTGCCTTGTGGGCCCAGCAAGGGCACCTGCTGTTTGTTCTCACTCCCCTCCCCCCGCGGCAGCAGGAGCCCCAATAAAGCCTTGCCTGAATCTCCTGTCTGGCCTCTTATCAGTTTCTATTGATTAAGGAGGCCAAGGACCCTGACTGGTTTCAGTCCCGGCACGTCCTCTTAAAGGTTCACTCATGTCTTCACTGCCTCGGGTGACAAGGCCCCTTTCTACGTGCCGTTTAGAGAAGGTGACAAAGGAAAGCCATGTTATAACGAGTAAGGTGGGACTCCGGGTTGCTTTGCAGGAGGCTGTGCTCTGATTTGGAGCCACCGATCGGACGGGGACCGGCCCGTTCCGTTCCACCCATGACCAAGTGTACGTGATATCAAACGTCAGACAGGACGTCGGTGGCCCTGGAGCAGAACAATGGGCCTCGTCCCTGGCCCTGAGTTTTCTTTTCTGGAACAGGATGGGTCAGCAAGGTCAGTGCTTCCCCAGCCTTCCCACCAAAGTCCATCACTAGCCCTGCAGACAGGGGACCAGGGACACTCATGACCCCTCTAGGGCCAACAGCAAGCCTGATTTTGGGGAAGAAAAGGTTTGTTAGTTTTTTTAATAGATCTTTATTAGAGTATAATTGCTTCACAATACTGTGTTAGTTTCTGTTGTACAGCAAAGTGAATCAGCCATATGCACACGCATGACCCCATATCCCCTCCCTCTTGAGCCTCCCTCCCACCCTCCCTATCCCACCCCTCCAGGTCATTGCAAAGCACCGAGCTGATCTCCCTGTGCTATGCGGCTGCTTCCCACCAGCCAGCTATTTTACATTCCGTAGTGTATATACATTGATGTTACTCTCACTTCACCCCAGCTTCGCCCTCCCACCCCATGTCCTCAAGTCCATTTTCTACGTCTGAGTCTTTATTCCTGCCCTGCAACTAGGTTCATCGGAACTTTTTTTTTTTTTAGATTCCATATATATGTGTTAGCATACAGTATTTGTTTTTCTCTTTCTGACTTACTTCACTCTGTATGACAGACTCTAGGTCCATCCACCTCACTACAAATAACTCAATTTTGTTCCTTTTTATGGCTGAGTAATATTCCATCGTATATATGTGCCACATCTTCTTTATCCATTCATCTGTCGATGGACACTTAGGTTGCTTCCATGTCCCAGCTACTGTAAAGAGTGCTGCAATGAACTTTGCAATGTTCTCTGTGTGTATAACACACACATCTGTTGCCATGTTTTAAAAAAGATACATTTTCCCTGACAATATCAGTAAATGCAACACGTGGGTAAGACATATCCTGTTCCTCCCAGAAGGTTCCCACCATCAAGGACTGGAGGTGCCGTGTACTTCTCTGAGAGGCACACGGCTGCCTGCTGTCTGCAGACCCCATCCCGTGCTCTAGAATGACCGACAGCAGAAATGACACACACCCATTTTGTGCCAAGCTTTCCCATGCCACACTGACCCCTGGTGGCTGTTCACTGCTATGGACAGTTTAGGGGGATTAAAACCAATCAAGACCCCCAGGCCAAGACCCCGGCATGTGCGAAGCCGCGGCCGAGACGTTCTTACTCTTTGTGGATTTTGTGCTGCTCGTGGAGCTGCAGTCGCGTGATGTTACTCCAGGCCAGCGTTCTGCTTTCTTCGGTCAGGTCTTCAAAAGACTCTTCACCTGGAGAGACTACGTTAAATTGCAGCTCAGTCAGTCAGCTAAATTTCTGACCAGTGTCGGAGACGACAAGCGTCAGAGGCACAAGATTTTCTATTAAAATCAAATAACCAAGAAAGCAAAACGCCCACCGAAACAGAACTGCTTCGAAAGGTCCATGTTAGTCAAGGGAGAAGAATGAGGTGCATCATCGAAATAAAACAGCAATCATTTGGAGAAAGATTAAAAAGTATCTTTGAACACTGCAGGTCTTTGTATACTTCTATCAGTGTTTGCAGAGTTTTCACTCCGCCCCTAAACTGGGAACTTCAGGAACCATGACACTGAGTAACCATTTCCTTGTCAGCAATCTTTGTAAAAACCTGACAGTTCCCTAAGAACACTGCCGTTTGCTTTTGGCTTCCAGACACAGGAAGAAGAGATGAAACCAATTACTACCACGCTCCTGGACAGGACTAGCTAAGCAGTCCCTTCACTTCTGTTTTAAGAAAGGCTGGAACAATTTCCCTTTTAAGATAATCCTCGTGGATGGGCCTGGTGACTAAGCAGAGCACGGGTTTAAGGGCATCACGAGATAATCTCCAGTCTTCATGACTTAACCCCAGAGACGCGCTGCCGGCCAGCCCTGGGTCGCGTGACCGCGAGAGGCCCAGCTGTGTGGCCCGAGAAGCCTGGACACTCCTGGGACAGAGCGCAGAGCGGGAGAAAACGAGAAATCCAGCGACTTTGCTCCCGAGGTTCCATACAGTGTCAGACTCCTGGGAGCCTGAGGCTGTCTTATGTGAAACGTAAACCGTGGAAAACTGGATGAAGGGGAGCACCTTCTCCTCCCTTTCCAAATACCAGATGTGACACAGAGTCAAGTTCATTTCAGCACCTGGCATAGACACTCTGTAAATGTCTGTCAAAGGACTGAATAAGGAAACAGAATCAAATGAAGAAAACAGAGCACCCCGAATTCAAGATCTGTGTGTCAGGGTAGAAGAGGAGAGTCAGGACGCTGGAAGTCGTTCCTGGGAAAGAGCAGGAACGAGCAGGGCGACGGGGACTGCTACAGCAGTCACGGCCAGGGCGGATCAACAAGAACACAAGAATGGCTAAGAATCAAACACCAGCTGGGCAAACCTCAGAAAAGAAAGAACATAACAGCAACAATGAAAACTAGTGCCAAGTCTCATTAAATTACCAGAAAGTAAAAGTGATTTGATTTCCTTTAAGGTCAAAAGTTAAAACAAACAAAACAACAGCACAACAACAAAGCAACAACTAAAAAAACAGAAAAGATCTGTTTGTTTGCAGGAGAAATGCAGTGAGACAGTAAGACAGAATCATCTCTAAGCTGCCCAGGGTTCATGATTGGTCTTCTCTCCAGAATCCTCAGAAACGTCTTAATCAGAAAAGAGAAACAGAAGGTGCTCACATTGTTTATTCTCTTTTCAAAATTTACCTGGAGTATCTGCCGTGGAAGCATTGTAACTGGAGGGCTGGGCCAAGCTTTTAAACTTTGGGGTGATCCTTCGAGGATGCGGTGTCACAAAGAGCTGCTTTGGTGTCTGCCCGAACTCCAAGATCTGGGTGAGCATGGCTACCTTCTCATCAGGGTCCTCAATGCTTTAGGACAGAACACAAACCATGTGGTGACCTCTAGGTGCAAGCTCCTTGATCTGTATCACTTGAAATTTGTGCATTCAACAGGAGACAGATTAACCCTCAAACAGCAATAGACGCTACATGCCGGGACTGTCTAGACCGTATCACACATCTTTAATTTCTGAAGCTCGGTAATTTCCACAGTGGTGAAGCAAGCCGTAATTCACGGTAACATTTCCATACCTTAATATCATCAAATAACTGCACTAATCATTTAGTCAAAGAGGTCATTTGTACTCATGTAGAAACTCCTTACTGACATATAAATACCTGTTCAAGTCGACACCTCCTTCGTAGGTCAGGGGATGAAACACTGAAAAAAAGAGACGTAAAACACTATTGAAAGATGTACTATTTTGTTACAATATACACTCTGTTTATTTTAAAAACTCAACAACTTTAAACTTTTATTCAAAGAAACTGATTTTCACTTTGCGCAACAACCTGATAATATCCAGCTTGGGTAAGTATCAAGCTGAACTGTTATCTTTTCTGAGCAGCGATCCAACTGGCCGTGGGACGGTGGGCTACCTCAGGGTGCTTCTCGGTCAGCAGGCCTCTCCCCAGGAGAGCGCAAAGCACCCTGTGCGGCACGTGAGGGGTCAGGTCCACACCCATCCCCGTCGCCAAGGCTGAGAAGCCCGGCGGAGAAAGAACCGGCCCCGAACAGGAGAGGGCGACCGCGGGCTTCCCTCCGCTCAGTCACAAAGACACTCTGGGGCCTTCATGGGAACCAAGGCCACCGTTCCGTCCTACTCTGACTGAGCTTTAGTAAAAGTGATGGAACGGGATGGAGAGTACATGCTAAAATTAGAAGACTCTAGCAAAAGACCTCTTGGGACCATGGCGAAGCGGGTATTTTTAGACAAAAGCACTTTCTCTCCCGCCTTTCATTCAGTTGTCTAGTCTGGGGTCGCTGAGCCAGGAGGCACCGTCCGCTGAAACAAGATGCTTCTGCTAAGGAAATAAGCTGCTCTGAGCTCAGTTTGGGGGTTGCTTTTGTTTCCATCGAATGCTAAACGGAGTTTCAGGGACTGTTACACACCATTGTGGGCTCCAACAGCATCCCTCCCCTTCTGCTTGTAGCCAAACACGAGATCGATCCACTCATGAAGGTGCTCTGACACGTAATCGCTTTCCAGTGCGTCTCTGCTCTTCTGGAGAAAGTCCTCGGGACCTAGTAGGTTAGACTCGATCAAAACACCCCATTCCTTTCATCTATCCATATGCAGACAGAGCTTCTGGGACAGGCACGAGGGACGTATTTCTTAATGAGTCTCCCCCCAGTCATATAAAATATAAATTCTGGGGGTTGGGCGGAGAGGCAAAAACCATTTTCACCACACTTAGCTCTCTCGTATGCGTAATAATGGTTTTACATCACAGACTCATGGAATACTTACAATCTGGAATAAGACTTCACCATCTCATTTAGGTTGAGGATTATACTGTTATTTTGAAAAATCTAAGCCACTAAATAATAACACTGAAACTGCACGACTAAGTAGAGAATTTCTATAATTCAATACTTCCAAGGTGGTACTCACTCCGTGCCCAAGGGGGGAGTTCTACGTCATCAACCATCTGCCCTCCTTGTCTCTTTCCCAAATCCAGCTTCAGACTATTGACTAAAAAGCTGACATCATCACCATAGAATTCTGGAATCAGCTGAAAGTTTCAGGGGAAGAAAAAAAAAAAAGAACAAACATTTTTTAAAGCAGTCACAAACCACAAGCCCAGTGAGTCATTGGCTTGGTAACTGCTTACCTCTTTAAAATCAGTCGCACCGTCCAAACAGTTTTTCCAAGTTTCTGCAATACTAAATATGAAAACAAAATTCAACTAATTTTAAATCTAGGGAATGGAAACAGCAACAGCAGCACTTTCTAGGCCCCTGGGTGCTATTCTACACTTTACCTAAACCACATCATCTCGCTCATTAATCCACAATCCCCAGTATTCACATGAGCTACCCCATCGGAGGAGCTCACGTGGATACTGGGGATTCACAGAAAACTCTGGGCCCACGTAGGGAGTGAGCAAGGAGTCGGGATAGGGACCTGGGGGTGTCCCCAAGTCCAGGCCAGGGACCTCCCCCATACATGGCCTCATCGAAGGGCCACTCGGGGCAGGTGCTTAAACATGAAACATCAGCAGTTATTTTAAGGGCTCATTTCGAAAAGGGATTATAAACAGCCACGTGCAGAGCTTACAGAAAGACTGTAAAGACACAGACCAGGGCTTCCCTGGTGGCGCAGTGGTTGAGAGTCCGCCTGCCGATGCAGGGGACACGGGTTCGTGCCCGGGTCCGGGAAGATCCCACATGCCACGGAGCGGCTGGGCCCGTGAGCCATGGCCGCTGAGCCTGCGCGGTCCAGAGCCTGTGCTCCGCAACGGGAGAGGCCACAACAGTGAGAGGCCCGCGTACCGCAAAAAAAAAAAAAAAAAAAGACACAGACCAAAAGATGAACAATGAGTGTTATCTCAGTGTGGTCAGGTGCCACATGAAATTTATTTTCTTCTTCATATTCTGATTTTGGGGGGGGTAAGAAAAGATTACCTTTATAATAAAAAAAATTATTTAAACACTCACAGGGATTTTATTCAATTCATAGCAAGATTATTTAGAATAATGAAATGTTGGAAACAGCCTAGGTGTCCAACCATAGAGAAATAGTTAAAATAGTTAAATTATGGCATATGTTAGGATGTGATACATTAATTAAAAAAAAAAAATCACCGTTTTGAAGAACATCCAATAATACAGGGAAAACTTCAAGATCTAACAAAAGGCTATAAAATACAAAAGGCAGGACAACAATACTGTATTTAAAATATGTTCTCCATCACTAATCATTAGAGAAATGCAAATCAAAACTACAAAGAGGTATCACCTCACACCAGTCAGAATGGCCATCATCAAAAAATCTACAAACAATAAATGCTGGAGAGGGTGTGGAGAAAAGGGAACCCTCTTGCACTGTTGGTGGGAATGTAAATTGATACAGCCACTGTGGAGAGCAGTATGGAGGTTCCTTAAAAAACTAAAAATCGAACTACCATGCGACCCAGCAATCCCACTACTGGGCATATACCCTGAGAAAACCATAATTCAAAAAGAGTCATGTACCAAAATGTTCACTGCAGCTCTATTTACAATAGGCAGGACATGGAAGCAACCTAAGTGTCCATCGACAGATGAATGGATAAAGAAGATGTGGCACATATATACAATGGAATATTACTCAGCCATAAAAAGCAACAAAATTGAGTTATTTGTAGTGAGGTAGATGGACCTAGAGTCTGTCATACACAGTGAAGTAAGTCAGAAAGAGAAAAACAAATACCGTATGCTAACACATATATATGGAATCTTAAAAAAAAGAAATGGTTATGAAGAGCCTAGGAGCAGGACAGGAATAAAGACGCAGACGTAGAGAATGGACTTGAGGACATGGGGAGGGAGAAGGGTAAGCTGGGACGAAGTGAGAGAGCGGCATGGACTTATATACACTACCAAACGTAAAATAGATAGCCAGTGGGAAGCAGCCGCATAGCACAGGGAGATCAGCTAGGTGCTGTGTGACCACCTAGAGGGGTGGGATAGGGAGGGTGGGAGGGAGACGCAAGAGGGAGAGGATATGGGGATATATGTATACGTATAGCTGATACACTTTGTTATACAGCAGAGACTAACACACCATTGTAAAGCAATTATACTCCAATAAAGATGTTAAAAATATATATATAATACTTACACAACTGAACAAACATCAAAAAGAAAAAAAAAGATGTTAAAAAATAAAATATGTTCTCACATTTACACACACACACACGACTACACAAAGCCTGAGAGGAATAGATACAACAATTACTGTAGTGGTGTTTTTCATTTCCTTCCATTTTTGTTTAAATCTGTTTTTTTGAAAAGAACGTATTGCATATGCATAATGAGAAAGTTTAAAAAGTGCTAAGTGAGGCATTTATGCCGAACCTGTTGAACATTCTGTCTGCGTTGTCGAATCTTCCGTTCTGCAGACACAGCATATACTCTGGTGCTAGAGGGGAAAAAAGTCAGAGTTAAGCAAGATCACAAAACCACTGAAGAGTCCACGTGAAATAACATGTCCCTGGGAGAGACGGCGAGGAGTCTTACCAATCCTGACCAGATAAAACAGCACGTAGCCCGGGGAGGAGTAGTGGCTGCCGTACATGAACTTGGGCTCCGGCATCTCCTGGTAGCGTGTCTACAACACAGAGAGAAAAAGTCCTGCTGAGCGCTGGCTGTGAAGACAATAACCAACTCCAGTAGTAAAAGCCTAAGGAAGTCGTGGCCTGGACACATTCTAGCCCCTAATTTCTCTCCTAAAGAGGAAAAGGAGAAGATAAAAAGTGGTTGAGAGTCCGCCTGCCGATGCAGGGGACACGGGTTCGTGCCCCGGTCCGGGAAGATCCCACATGCCGCGGAGCGGCTGGGCCCGTGAGCCCAGCTGAGCCTGCGTGTCCAGAGCCTGTGCTCCGCAACGGGAGAGGCCACAATGGTGAGAGGCCCGCGTACCGCAAATAAATAAATAAATAAAAATTAAAAAAAAAAAAGAGGGGTGGAAATCTGAGTAAACACAGCATTCTTGCAACAAATATCTTGGTGTTCTTGGCCTCATGGTAACAATGTCTGCCGGGGCACGACTGAAAAGAAGACATTTTATGCATCGCTTGTGCAGTTCACCAGAGAGCACCTTCGTGAAAATAAATGGGTAAACCTGTGATCGGCTCAGCTTCCTACCTCCTGAATTGTAAGCAGAAATGCAGATGGTGAGCTGCTAAGTTCACAGGGGAAGGAAGGCAGCGGGCAGAGGGCGAGAGAATACGCTCAGAAACTTCGGTCTCTCCAGACATACTTCCCCTAAGTCTTGAAGAAACGAGTTTCAGGTACTATAAAAACACAGGGGAAGGGGGTTCAATCCCTGGTCAGGGAACTAAGATCCCACGTGCTGTGTGGTGTGGCCACAGAGTAAATTTAAAAAAACCAACAAAAACAATCAAACAAAACATACGCCAAGGCTCCCGGGTTGCTTAGACACCAGGAATCTCTGAGTCCACGTACCAGCAGCCTCTCCAGACGTTCCTTGTTGAGGGCCCCTACTGGCTTACTGAGATCCCGGAAGGTTCCTGGATTTGACAGATCTATAAAAGAAATAAATTTTTAAAAATCACAATAAATAAAGCAAACAAGCTTACCCTTAGTAACATTATCTCCCTGAATGAATTTACATGCACACATTTATTTCCAAATAATAAATAGCTTTTTAAAAATTGAGACAGATCCATTAGAATATTTCTGATGATTAATATAGCTGTAAAGGTTAGAATTTGAAGACCTACTGACAAAAAAAACTATATTCCAAGTAAAACAACAAAAAATAAATTTCAAAAGCCATTATTCTACCAAAATTTACTTTTTAAGTTTGAATTATAGTGAATATTATTATTCTGTGATAACAGCATAATTTGAGAACTGGGGACCTGAATATTATCAGATAAATAAATTATATTCCTAGAAAATCTGTTACCTCTTTCAACTACAAGGGTGCAATCAGTGAAGTGTCAAAAGTAATTCAGTGTTCACAATATCTAATTTTAAGATATTACAAAATAAAATTACAGTACAATCACATTTTTCGTAAAATAATTTGAGAGAGAGAAAGAAGTATATATACCACAGTTAAAGTGGTTCTCTCTCGGTAATGTAATTACTGATGAGCCTTATTTCCTTCTTTGAGTGTTTCAGTACTTTCTAAGTGTTCTTTAATGAACAGCTATTATGTTTGGCAATCACATGTTTTCATGTGAATTGAAAAATAATACGGTAACCTGAGGTGCAATTTTCAAAGTGAAAACTTAAGTATTTGAAAACATAGTACTTATTGGTAGCAGTGGTAACACTGGCTGAAGATCCCATGCATGTCTTCTGGGTGTGGCTTTCAAGAAGTATGTGAGTACTTTTAGAATTAAAAAAAATTCAGAGACAGTAGAGAAAACATACAGAACACACATAATTCCCGTGACACCCATCCAGTATCGTGGCATGGAGACGGGCCATCGTCAGTAATAAAATCAAACGGGTTCTACTCTGTTCACGAATCGCAACGTGGCTCTAAGAGGGAAGGTGCTCTTCGCTCTAAAAGCCCGGCTCTGTGGCACGCACCCAGCTCGGAGCTGCTGTAGTCGCCGACGACCCAGGGGAACACGGGGTACTGGGAGAGGTCGTTGCAGCTACGGTCGGCCAGCGTGTTGAGGTGCAGCAGGTACTGGTAGTTGGACAGAAGCCCGCGCTGCCACTGCAGCGTGTAGCCCTCGGCCGTGCGCTCCGCCACGTGGTGCTCTGGGGGGACAGGTGAGGGCAGGCCCGGGTCACACTGAGCTCCACGTGTGTGGGCAGCAGTCACTCAGCATGTGAAGGCGCTACAGAGGCTTTCAGTGTAGACCCTTCAACCCATTTTTGAAAAGTACATTTTAAAACAAGAAAAGTAGGCTACAGTTTGCTTTTACCGAAGAGTTGTTCTGTCAAGTATGAACGAGCATCTCCAAGATCCAGGAGGGAAATTATTAAATGTATGATATAAAACATATCTACTAAATATATGATATAAAACATATCACATCTATGAAATATATGATATAAAACAAATATGAAAGTATGGAGCAAATACATAAATATGACATGGTAATATATGTAACATTTGCAATATTTATATATAGTCTACAATATGTACTAACAAAGAATCCTTCCAAACGTGCTTGAGTTTTAATGCCTTTAAGAAGCCATGACCATCTGTAAAACTCATTTCCTCCATTTCTTAAGAAAGTAAAATGAAACAATCTTTTAGTTTTCTTTCAGATCTGGAAGCGGGGTACACTATGGCTAATTTGTCACTGACTACGTATTATTTATGCAAGTGAGGAATCAGGAAAAGAATAGAAACTGCTGAAGGAGAAAACAAGTATCTGTCAGAATTCTCAAAGCAGAAGGACCAGAAAGAGCTCCCAGAAAGAACCTCCGGAAAGACAGAACCACAGATGGTGTGGCACCAGTGATAACTGTCCTGTAAAATGAGTCAACTGTTCTATTTTGTTTAGAAAATTCTGCTTTCAGCTTTGTATTGGCTGCATCAAACTTATCTAACTCATTTGCTGATTCAATATTTATTCTTATATACTTTGCCAAGTTTCTTCTCTAATCAGCTACCAGGAAAGGGCTTAAAAACTCAAAACACTTATCCTCTGACTTTCTGCTCTCAGAACGTCTCAGAGAAAGTCTGAACAATCTCAGGAATGAACTCAGAGAAAACAGACGCTTCACAGAAGCAGACCTTTTAGGCCGTGGCAAGTTTTTTGACTTGAGATTTTAGGACTCACCATGAAAGTTGAGTTTTTTGTTGTCATCTTGTTATAGTTAGAAAAATTAAATCAGGAGGCAGGAGATAACAGTAAACTTATACCAAAGCTATACTTAAGCCCTAAGTTAAACTGAACAGCTTAGTGTGAGAAGAAAAAAAAAATGAACTCAAACCTACTGTAAAATATGTTCTTTATTGAAAATAAACTATTCCTCCTTGAGAGAAAACTTCTAAGGGAGTAAGTCACTACACATCTCATAAATGATTTCACTGCACACGAGAACAGCAAACTAAGATGGTATTAATAAAATCCCAACATTGATTTTTTAAAATTCCATTCTAGTCATCTGGCAATTTTGAAAACAAGAATAATTTAATTCAACCATACAACTTAATATGTTTATGCTTGAAAAGAAAAATACAGGTGTTCTCTCTGATAAAAGTGGGAAAATTCACATTTCCCATGGAAGATTGAGGAAATATTAGTTGTAAGCAAACTGAGTCCCACGGTTCCATACTGAGCATAGAAGGTTCCTGTGTTCCTTTTGTACCGTTTTCCGGCTTTGAGATTAAGACCACAGTTAATGATCACAGACACATGACTGGGTAACTGTCTCACATGAAGAAACTGAGTCCTGGTTTTCATAAACGAACATAAGACAGGACTGGACATAAAAATAATTAGGTGGATTCTTATAAAATCCATTCAACTTGGGGGTTGTTAAGATACAGAAAAACATTTAAATATATTTATCAAAAGTTTGTAAAACACAGGATTGAACTATTACCAAATTTCATTTATATTTCCCTTAATTTTCAGTATGCCATTCTGCTAACTATAGTCACTGATGAGAAGAAGTAAGCAGAACCACAGAGAGGTGATTCCAGACACAGAATTGCTCTCCTCTCACTTCCCATCCCAGTTACTCGGGAGTTGAACCACCTTCACGTGAACAGATACAATGAAGAGTGAGCACCAAACCTAGGTATGTAGCAATGTAAAAATAGAGGTCATCTCGGTCTTGACGTTCATAGAACTTCAGGTAGACGTCGGAACACAGATCATCTTCTGTGCAAAACACTTCCAAGCCCTACAAGTCCAGAAAGAGAAGAATAAAACAAACGGCGTCTCAATGTGAGTGACGCAAGTACAAAAGCCTTTCAACTAAACACTTGCATTTTTTTTTTATTTATTTTTTTCGCGGTACGCGGGCCTCTCACTGCTGCGGCCCCTCCCGTTGCGGAGCACAGGCTCCGGACGCGCAGGCGCAGCGGCCATGGCTCACGGGCCCAGCCACTCCGCGGCATGTGGGATCTTCCCGGACCAGGGCACGAACCCGTGTCCCCTGCCTCGGCAGGCGGCCTCTCAACCACTGCGCCACCAGGGAAGCCCCTGCATTCTTTATTTGTAGGTCTTGTATGCATATTCCCCAGCAATAAATTTGATTTATAAGGACAAGACGTGTCTCAGCTAAACTTTACAAAATCCCTTTGACCTTGAGGATCTTTATGATGACAGCATCTGTGAGTTTATTATGCTGAAATTCAAAACTGGCTAATCCAATGTCTTCACCTATCTTCTTCAGAGACAAAGGTGTAGCTTTCTTTTACAAATTAAGTCGTAATTATGTCAACTTAAACTGATAATCGAATAACTCATTTAATTAGTAGGATGCAATTATTTTAAGAAAACTATGAGCTGCGTGAATGTTGTGAGGGTGAAGCCGAGACGGGACAGGAATAGACAGAGAAAGGATGAAGGCGCAGCGCTGTCCTAGGTTCAGATACAGGCTTCCAGCGCTACTAGTGAGGGAACCGAGGGAGTGAACTCCTGGAGTCTCGATTCCTTTGTAAAGTAGGGTATCATCTACCTCACAGGGATGGCGCTGATAAACGAATATTGTACACAGATTGCCCAGTAGGCAGAAGGTACTTAATCAATGCCAATTTCTTCTTTTTCTGACTGCATCTCTATACCCAAAGGAGGAGGAGATTTTTCATAGAATCTGTTTCCCTAATCCTCTGTTGGCACTGGAAATGGAGAATTGCCTTTTAAGTAAAATAGGCAGGAAAACAGTTAAATTTCATAAATACAAAACACCAAGATGAGATGCTTAAATATCCACAATGCTCTTGCAATGCCACCAACTTACTGGTTAATCTCTGAAGGAGAACAAATAGATTTATATCGATGTCAAGCTAAAACCCCTTGGAGTCACACCTTCCGTGGCGACTGGTTTCTACAATAAGCGTGTGAGCCTCACAGAAGTGCGGACACGGGCTTATTCAGGAGAATGGCGGGGAGGGACACCTAGGTGACTGAAATGGTTATTTTATCCATTTCTCCCTCTCACCAAGCCTGAAGGCTGAATTCATACAAGTTAACCGTGAGGATACTACAGTTCCACTGAGAGCTGCCGTCGCAGCTTCCAAACTTTGCTTGGAGACCTCGCTGCTGTAACTGGACCGGTTCTGCGTCCATTATCCCCACATCCCCACACAAGCCTGGGAGGACCCTGAGAACTAGGCAGGGAGAAACTCAAGGGCACTTGAGCCCCCCTGCTCTTGGAGCCAAAGCCTTTTTCCCAACAGCCCTCCCCCCACAGAAAGAGTCGCTCCTTGATAAACTTCCAGCACAGCCAAAAGAAGGGGCGGCGGGCCTCACGGCCCCTCTGCTCGCAACACAAACACCCGCGCCTTTCAGACGAGCCCGAGGTGGGTGCAGGCCAGTAAACCACTGGCCAAGCTGAAGATAAGACAGTCATCCTCTAGAGGGGATGTTCCCCTCGAACTCACCAGAGGCATGAGGCCATGTCTCCTCTTGTAAATGCGGCGGACGTCGTGGAGTGTTATCTGGACCATGGGTTTCTTCAAAAGTAGAAAGACAATCTCAAATGTCAAGATTCTGACACAACTAGAAGCTGCCCTTCAGCTGTCCCACCCTAACTTCCTGATGGGTCACACCTGAACACCTGGAAAGTGAGCTCTGAGAACAGGGCGTGCCTCACTTTACACGCCGGTCTGCCCTTTTCACTAGCTTTGTGACCGTGGACCAGTCCCCCTACCCACCCCACCCCCGCTGGTGCCCCCCAGGATGATAACGCAGGCATCTAGCTTTCAGGTTTCTGCAGGGTTGCTGAGGGGTAAGAAATATTAAAGGACTGGTGTAGACCTCCTCTCAGGAATTCTCCTATTTTTATAGACCTACGGTTTGCTCAGAACTGACATACAGCTTTTTTTTTAGGATCCTGTCTTTTAGCTCCTTACACTACAGTGTAATAAGGCTCATAAACAGATACAGTATAGAGCAGGGCCTCGAAACTTTATAAGGAGGAAAACTGTCTCGCTTCTCTGGAGCCTTAAAATGCTAGTGAGAGAGCAACAAGGTCGCAAAAGGTACTGAGATCGGCTAAAAGGCGACAGGTCCACCCTCCTCCCTCCAAGTAAGAGGGAGGGAGAGCCTGCAGATGCAGGGTGTGTAGCCGTGGAAGCTGCCTGCAGACTGGCCACGGCCCCCAGCCCAGACCTGGGACCCTGAAGCTGTGGCTTATACTCAGATATTGTTGCTCAAGTATTGACCGAGGCCACAGCAACAGCGCTGGTCCAGCCAATCGATGACGCCACAAAGAATGCCGTCAGCAACGTGTACTGTGTCCACTGGAGGGCCCGGCGAGTGTGCCCTACCACCTGGTGGACAGAACTGTTACAGCATCACCTTTCACTTAGGAAAGTGTTCACGTTTCAGTGACATGTAATGACTGACCAGCCTGGAGAATTTCTTCCATGGCAGAAAACACTCCTGTTCTTGAAGCTACCTGCTAAACGGTCCAACTGCACTCGCAGAGTATTAGGGTTTCTGTTCTTTCAATAAACCACTCTGAAAAGGGTCCGTATCTAGATAAAGCCGCCAATCTTTACAAGTTTTAGTGCAGAAATCTGAATTCATCTTTACTGTGTGGCCTCGTGAGCCTCAAGTCATCGTGCAAGAGAAGATGTTTCCAGCATCACAGCAGCAGAACTGCAGCTGCCCAGTGACAGCAGTGCCACACGCAGCTCTGCACTGGCTGGAGAGGCGACAGATGCAGATCTACTGATTTGGTTTGTAATTAAGGGAGAACGAGAAATACAACTTAGGTGTACATATCAGCAAATACACAGAAAGCATTCATCTCTTCTTAACCTTAGTATATTTCATTGCTCTCTTGCAGAAGTGCTTCCGAGTAGAAAGGTATAAACCTCTAATGACCCTTTACTAAAATCAAAAGGGGCAGGGTTTCTTTTCCCCCGAAGTAACAGAAAGTCAGTCACAAGAGCTGAAACACGGGTGAGGGTGCATCGGGATTCCACGGGGAGCCGTTAAATACCAGATGCTGGATGGGGACGGGGGTAACTCTGACCCTCCCCAAAATGTGAGAACACTCTGTCAAGTCAAGTTCACAGGAAAGAGAGCTTGAAGATGCAAACGGGAACACCAGAGGAGCCCTCCGCTGGCCTACAGACTACTTACCGGGTACCCATTGAGAGGCTGGAAATACAGGTTGATGTCAGTGATGCACACGTGGCCAGGATTTGTCACCAGAGGTGTCACCATTTCTGCTTTGCATTCCATGTGCAGCTTTTCGGAAACACTTTGGAATCTGAGAATATGTTTTTTCCAGCAAAAGCAAGAAAAATCAGAAATCGATCTACTTTCTAGATTTAACTTTATCTGAGGGCGCTACAAAGTGACTCTGCAGAACAGGTGTCTAAACACCGCATTTCATACAAGAAAACTGGTGATATAAACCAGTCGCCTAAATAAAACTGACTTTCTTTTCAATGGTATAATGAATACTTGATTTTTTTAAAAGCAGATGAGGTTACGTATCAAAGAAGAGAAGACAGGCAAGTAAAAAATACCAAATAACCCTGTTATTGGTACTCTTCACTCCTCCCCAAATAAGTCGGCCTTGAAACTGTTCTTACATTAACATAATTTTCTATTTTTGTGTCATTAAGACCTATTTTATTATCATAGAAACTGTTTTGGCATGGGTAGCACTTACTGCACACCACGTTCTATAAGGCTATGAGTTTACTTGCATGTCAGTTCCAACGTACAGTCTTTTGTGGAGCTACTGCAGTAAAACCAGTCAAAGGTGATCACCACGCCCTCCTAAATCATGTTAACTCATCAAAAAAGTCCACTTTCGTTCTGCTTTACTAATTTAAAAAAAAATAGAAGGGAAACAACCAAATCATCAAGAGTTTAGGCAATTACTTAGTTAAATAACTGAGCTAAAAATAAGTCTCCTCTGGGACTTCCCTGGTGGTGCAGTGGTTGGGAAACCACCTGCCAACGCAGGGAACACAGGTTTGATCCCTGGTCCAGGAAGATCCCATATGCCGCGGAGCAACTAAGCCCATGCACCACAGCTACTGAGCCTGCGCTCTAGAGCCCACGAGCCACAACTACCGAAGCCCACGTGCCTAGAGCTTATGCTCCACAACAAGAGAAGCCACCACAATGAGAAGCCCATGCACCACAACAAAGAGTAGCCCCCACTTGCAGCAACTAGAGAAAGCCTGCGCACAGCAAGGAAGACCCAGTCAAAAAAAAAAAAAAAGTCTCCTCTGTAAGTAGTAGAACAAAAGCAGGGCTTCCCTAGTGGCGCAGTGGTTAAGAATCCGCCTGCCAATGCAGGGGACACGGGTTCGAGCCCTGGTCCGGGAAGATCCCACATACCGCGGAGCAACTAAGCCCATGCGTCACAACTACTGAGCCTGCGCCCTAGAGCCCGCGAGCCACAACTACTGAGCCCGCAAGCCACAACTACTGAAGCCCACGCACCTAGAGCCCATGCTCCGCAACAGGAGAAGCCACTGCAGTGAGAAGCCCACCACCAAAACAAAGAGTAGCCCCCACTTGCCCAACTAGAGGAAGCCCGCGTGCAGCAGCGAAGACCCAACGCAGCCAAAAATAAATAAAATAAATAAATATACTAAAAAAAACAAACACAAAATCACACAGGAGCAGGCTTCCTCTTCCGGTTTGGACGTGAAGGAGACCTCACAGCTCTCATCCCAACCACAAAACCTGCCAGATGAGCTACACAATCCTTGCTATGTTTAGAAACCCATCAGAAAGCTCAGGTGCAGAGAAACCTAAATGAAGGGACCAGCAGTTGAGTGGCAGGAGGAGGGGCAATCTTCCACAGGGGGTGAGGGCTGCAGGATGAGGGAGACGCCAGACAGCAGGAGTCGGGCCTGGAGGGCACAGATGCTCCGTGGGCGGAGAGCTGGAGGCTCAGCTGGGAAGCACAAGGATGTCTGCAAATCCTTCAAGGGCCGACCCCAAGCCTGCTGAGGACAGCTCTGCGCACTCCCGCCGTGGAACTGGGCATGGGGACCTGGATTTAACCCAGCTCCACTCATTACACTGACGGAGCCCCCAGGGCAAGCAGCGGGCAGGATGGGGGTGGGCATGACCACCTCCGGAGGCAAATATTCCTCAGGTCAGTCTCTACAGTTCCTTTAAAACAAACTTCCCAGCACACAAAAAATTTACAAGAAACACAAAGAAGTGAGTAAATATGACCCGCACTCATGAAAGAGAAGATTCCACGGAAGAGGACCCGGATGTCGGATCCATCAGAGGGAGTCGTTAAGATAACTGTAGTAAATCTGCTAAAAGATCCAGAAGAAAAGACGGAAAACAGATGTGAAGGGAAGGAAAACTTCATTCGAGAAATAGAAACTACGAAAAAGAACTGAAAGGAAATGCTAGAAATGAAAATCTGGGCGAGAGGAAATGAAGAATGACTTAAACAAGCCTAACAGACTGGCACGGCAGAGGAAAAGCCCAATGTGGCTGAAAACAAGGCCAATAAAAAAGCCCTAACTGAAACAGGACAGAAGGAGAATAATAATAATAATAATTAAAAAAAACACAGAACAGAGTGTCTGAAATCTAAGCCAAACTATAAAACATACTAACACGAGTGTAACTCAAGTCACAGGAGAAGAGACAGGAGACGGGGCAGAAGAAACACTGGAGAGTGGTGAAAACTGTCTAATGTAAGAAACCAGTTCACAGGCTCCGTTACCCAGAAACCCCCAGCAGGACAGGCGCAGAGAGACTACACCTTAATTCACAGTAACAACAGGACAAATGATGTGACTTTTCACAGGAAACAATGGACAGCAACATACAACGGAATGAAAACCCTTCAAGTAGTGAAAGAAAACCCTGTGAACCTAGTATTTTATCTCCAACAAAAACACCCTTCAAAAATGAGAGTAAGATAGAGGTATTTTCAGACAAAGCTGGGAGAATCCATCCTGACCAGATATGCACCGTAAGAAATGCTATAGGAAGTTCTTTGGGCTTAAGAGAAATGACACCAGATGCAACACCGGTTCTGCAGGAAGGAAAGACAAGCATCAGGAAACATAAGTATTCAAATCTCCAAGTAAACAGAAAAGAATTCTCAGTATTTTAATTTATGTACCTATAAATACATGTATCTCAATTCTTGGGATTGGGAGTTTGGGATTGACATGTACACACTGCTATATTTAAAAGATAACCAACAAGAACCTACTGTAAAAAAAAAAAAAAAAAAAAAAAGTAAAAAAAATTCTTTAAAAACCTAAAAGGGGGCTTCCCTGGTGACGCAGTGGTTGAGAGCCCGCCTGCTGATGCAGGGGACACGGGTTCGTGCCCCGGTCCGGGAGGATCCCACATGCTGCGGAGCGGCTGGGCCCGTGAGCCATGGCCGCTGAGCCTGCGCGTCCGGAGCCTGTGCTCCGCAATGGGAGAGGCCACAGCAGTGAGAGGCCCACGTACCACAAAAAAAAAAAAAAAAAAAAACCTAAAGTAAGAACACCATATCATGGGTTTTATAGAAATTTAATATAAAACCACAGATCACAAAGGGCAGGAGGGGTTATGTGGAAACACACTGCTGTAAGGCTCTTGAACGACTGTAAAGGAGTGTAATATACTCTTACCTGAAGGTACGCTATGTACAAGGTGCATATTGTGAGCTCCAGAGTGACCACGAAGAATGACACCAAGCACTACAGCTAAGAAGTAGAATACTTAAAAATACCAGATTTACCCAAAAGAAGGCAAGAAAGGAGGATCAGAGAAACAAAGAACAAAGGAAATGCTAGGAAACAAATACTAAGATAGTGGGTTTAAAAACCAACTATATCCATAATTACATAATTATAAAATGAATTAAACAGTCCAATTAACAAGCAGAGACTTTCGGACTGTATAAAAAGACTCAACTATATAAAGTGTGTTTTTTGGAAATGGAATAGGACACAGACAAGTTAAAATTAAAAAGGATAGAAAAAGATACAGCATGCAATCACAACATGTAAGAAAACTGGTGTCTTATAAATGTATGTAAACCTAATAACAGAGCCTGCCAGTACACGAGGCATAAACTGACAGAAATACAGGGGAAAATAAACAATTCCACAACCATTACTGGTAATTTTAACACCCTCCTCTCAGTAAGTGACAGAGCAAGTCAACAAAAAAGTCAGTCAAGTATAGATGATCTGAACAACCATCAGCCAACTGGCCCTAAATGACGTGTACAGAGCACCATACTCCACAACTTCAGAGCACTCGTTCCTTTCACGGGCCTGGGAAACCTGCGTCAGGACAGACTACGCAGAGCCATACAACACATCTCAACAAACACCAAAAGACTGAACCAGGGCTTCCCTGGTGGCGCAGTGGTTAAGAATCCGCCTGCCAATGCAGGGGACACAGGTTCAAGCCCTGGTCCGGGAGGATCCCACATGCTGCGGAGCAACTCAGCCCGTGCGTCAACGACTGAGCCTGCGCTCTAGAGCCCATGAGCCACAACTACTGAAGCCCGTGTGCCTAAGAGCCTGGGCTCCGCAACAAGAGAAGCCACCGCAATGAGAAGCCCGCGTGCCACAACGAAGAGTAGTCCCCGCTCGCCGCAACTAGAGAAAGCCCGCGTGCAACAACGAGGACCCAACACAGCCAAAAATAAATAAATAAAATAAATAAATTTATTTACAAAAAAAGACTGAACCATATACTCTCTGAACCAAGAGAGTATTAGATTAGAAATCAATAACAATACAACAGTAACAAGATCCCCAAATACAGAGAAGATAAACAACATACTTCCAAATAACCCAAAGAAAAAACCCAATGGGTCAAAGAAGAAATGACAAAGGAAATTATGAAATATTTCATATGAATGATAATAAAAACATATTAAAATCTGAGGGATGCAGCTGAGCAGTGCTTAGAGGTAAATTTATGTTCTAGTCCTACTTATAAAAGAAGGTCTAAAATCAGTGATCTACACTTTGTAGGAAGCTGGAAAGAGAACAAGTTAAACCCAAAGTAAGCTGAAGGAAGGAAATCAATTTTATATAAAATGATTTTTATATAAAAATAGAGAAAAATCAATAAAGTCAAAAGTTGGATCTTTAAAAAGGTTAATAAAATTGGCAAACCTCTGGCAATACTGATAAAGAAAAAACATAAAGCATCAACGTAAGGAATGAAAGAGGGACCATAACTGCAGATCCTACTGACGTTCAGAGGACATTAACAACTTGATGCCCGCATCTGACAACTTGGATGAACTGGACAAAGGTTTTGAAAAATGCAGCCTGACAAAATAGACACAAGAAGAAACAGACAACCTAACTATGTGTCAAGCAAATAGACTGACTAAGTAAGAACACTTCAGGCCTCCATGGCTTCACCAGTAAATGTGGTTAAAAATTTAAGCAAGAAATACAATCCTACACAAACGCTTTTGGGAAACAGAAGATAAAGGGAGATTTCTAACCTCATGTTATGTGGCTAGCATAACCCTGACGGCAAAACCTCACAAATACACTAAGATTTACAGAGCAACATCCATAAAGAGATGCAAAGATCCTTTACAAAATACTAGCAAAGCAAGTCCAGCAATACGTAAAAAGAACAACATATCGTAAGCAAGGTGGATTCATCCCATGAATACAAGGTTGTTTTAACACTGAAAAAACAACATAATTCACATTAACAGAATTAAAGAAAAGAAGATCATCTCAATAAATGCACAAAAAGTACTTAACAAAATTCTAAACTTTTTTTGAAAATACTCTCAGCAAACCAGGAATAAAAAGAAACTTCGTCACTATGATAAAGGGCATCTATGAAAAACCTACAGCTGGAATCATTCTTTTGTTTTTTGTGTTTTGGGTTTTTTTTTTGTGGTACACGGGCCTCTCACTGTTGTGGCCTCTCCCGTTACGGGGCACAGGCTCCGGACGCACAGGCTCGGCAGCCATGGCTCACGGGCCCAAGCACTCCGCAGCATGTGGGATCTTCCCGGACCGGGGCATGAACCCGTGTCCCCTGCATCGGCAGGCGGACTCTCAACCACTGCGCCACCAGGGAAGCCCTGGCATCATTCTTTAATGGTGAAACATTAAACCCTTTTCCTGTAAGATCAGGAACAAGGCAAGAATATGTCTGCTCCCACTGCGTCTATTAATCAAACTGTGCAATGAGGCAAGAAGTAGAAATAAAAGCCACAAGTATTTCTGTGAAACTGTCATTATTCACAGGTTAAATAATTATGGATATAGAAAACTCTATGGAATCTCCAAAAAAACCTGCTAGGACTAATGAGTAAATTCTGAATTTGGAAAAGTCACAGGATACAAGGTCACTGTTTCTAAAAAACAAAAAACCAAAAAACAACAACAAAAAACTACTTCTATATACCAGTAACAAATTGGAAAATAAAATTTCAATAGCATCAAAAAACAACAACAGGGCTTCCCTGGTGGCGCAGTGGTTGAGAGTCCGCCTGCCGATGCAGGGGGCAGGGGTTCGTGCCCCGGTCTGGGAGGATCCCACGTGCTGCGGAGCGGCTGGGCCCGTGAGCCATGGCCGCTGAGCCTGCGCGTCCGGAGCCTGTGCTCCGCAGCGAGAGAGGCCGCAACAGTGAGAGGCCCACGTACCGCAAAAACAAACAAACAAACAAACAAAAAAAACTACTTCTATATACCAGTAACAAATTGGAAAATAAAATTTCAATAGCATCAAAAAAAGTCTAGGATTACAGCCAACAAATCTACGATTACAGCATCCACACCCACTAAACATATAATAATAGGGGAACTGGATGAGGGGGAAAGAACTCTTTGCACTGTCTTTACATCTTTTCTTTAAATCTAAAATTAGTCCAAAGTATTTTAAAGAGGACATTTTGGGGTACAAATGGGGAAACCTGAATATGGAGCTATAAGTTACCCGGCATACAGAATATTGCTACTTGAGTGTTATAACAGTATGGAGGAATGTCACAGAACTTTCTTGTGAGAGATACATGTTGAAGTAGTTATGGGTGAAGTGTCAGGAAGTCTTGCAGTGTCATTTCAAATGGTTCAGGGAAAAGTTGTATGCATATATTTTATATGTATCACACATACGTACATATGCACATCAGCTATACATGTATACATACATACAACATATATACAGACATATATGCATTATTTATACATGTACACACACACACACACACACACACACACACACACAGAGCAAGCAAGAGCATGAGCCTGAGCATGTAAGAACCAAAGCAAATTCAGCAAAATGTTGACAAATTAACGCTTGGTGACCCATAGGGTATCTGTGTTCACTATATTATCTTTCAACTTGTGAGGACTTGAACTTTTTCAGAATGAATAGGGAAAAATAAATACAGTTTCAATAAAAAAGCATTTCCTTGGAAGTATGATGAAAATTTATCTCAGCAAAAATTTACCTTCTTTCTTTTGGAGGAAGTATACAATCCTGAAATATCTCACTTCACGCTGCAAAAAAAGTCTTCCCCAAATTCTTCAGCCTAACACTTTGGAGACTGGATAAATCAAAAGTTTCATAGTGAACCATTTTAAAAATTAATGTCATGCTGAAGCCCAGGATTAAAGTCTAAACTGCTACTTAGAAAAATTACGCATTCTAAGTAGGTCAAAAGAAACCAATTCTTATTACTCCTTTTCCTTCCTAAAATGGAAGCTATTCTTTCCTCCCAACAATCCACTTAACTAATATATCCTACAAGTACAAAAATGAAAAGAAAATTAATGCTATACAGGTGAAACAGAAAAAGAAGTAAACAAACAGAAACACAGAAAACACGTTATTGGCCAGATGGCTTTTCTGGCAAATTCTTTAACATCTGAAAATGTAGTGTATGGGTCACAAATCTCACAAAGGTAGCAATAAAACAGAATATGACAAACGAATCTCATTGATACACATAAGCTTCTAGCAAAAGCCTAGCACATAATAATCCATAAATGAATCTATTCAACCAATACTTTCTACTTTGTCCTAGGCCTGAGGATTCCAAATACAAAAATCTAAAAATAAATATCTAAAATAAAAATGATATCTAGTGACTAGAGACTGAAACAATCGCTACATAAGATTTTGTACATATTAGAGAACCTATATATAAAGTTAATGGAATGGATCACAATGTTTAGCAGGGTTGCTGAAAACAAAACGAATACACAAAAATCTACTACATTCTAAGTATCAACAATAAAATGAAATATTTTAGGCTATCATTTACAACACCATCAAAAACACGAAGTACCTGGAATAAATCTAGCACAAAAGAAGAAAGAACTTTATAAAGAAAAATCATAAAGAAGACTTAAATAAATGGAAAGTTTCACTGCAATCACAGTCAAAATCCCAGCAGGCTTTTCCTTTATGAAACTTGACAAGCGGATTCTAAATTTACACAGAAGTGTGTAAGACCAAGAACAGTGAAGACATAAGTTAAGAAGGGAAATAGGGTGCAGGACCCTGCACTGCCTGACATTAAGAGTTGTCCTAATAAAGACACAGACCTACTAGAGAATGGACTTGAGGATATGGGGAGGGGGAAGGGTGAGCTGTGACAAAGCGAGAGAGAAGCATGGACATATATACACTACCAAACGTAAGGTAGATAGCTAGTGGGAAGCAGCCGCATAGCATAGGGAGATCAGCTCGGTGCTTTGTGACCACCTGGAGGGGTGGGATAGGGAGGGTGGGAGGGAGGGAGACGCAAGAGGGAAGAGACATGGGAAGATATGTATATGTATAACTGATTCACCTTGTTATAAAGCAGAAACTAACACACCATTGTAAAGCAATTATACTCCAATAAAGATGTAAAAAAAAAAAAAAAAGTTGTTCTAAAGCTACAGGAATTCATACAGTGATACCGCAGATGGAGATAGAGATAAATAGCCCAAATCTACTTAATAGGAGGAAATCTACTTAAAATAAGGCGAGAAACAAATAAGAGAACAGGTTAATATAAAAGTATACTTACTTGCAGAAAATATATTGGATACTTAGAAAAGCCAAAAAAACCCCAAAACAAACAGAAAACCCAACACACCCCAAAACCAAAAACCGAAACAAAACTCCATTAGATCAGTAAGAATGTGGTCTCTAGGTCCCTGCAGGACACCTCAGGAAGGTACCTAACAGCCTGACGGGACAGGAAAGACTTTCCAGAACAACGCCAGCTCAGCTGAAATGAGAAGAGTAAGGAAGAGTTGGGCGGGTGCAGAAGAGGCAGGAGGCCATAAGGCACCTCGGGAATCGCACAGAACGCAAAGATCCAGAGCAGAGCATGCAAGAGGCACCGGCGGCCGGAACAGTGACGAAGGCTACACCAGCGCCCCGCGTGCAGGTGAGGTTAAGGCTCTACCCTGAAGGCGATGGAAGTCTGGAAGAGTTTCAAACAGACAAGTGATATAAAGAAATAAGTTCCTTAGAAAGAATGTATTTTAAAAGTACATTCGACACAGTGAGGGAAACGGGATTGGAGCAGGGAAGGCTGGAGCTGGGGACAAGCTAAATGCTGTCACTGTGATCTTAGTGGCAGGGGCTGGTGGCCTGAACGGAGGCGCTAACCTGTGAAAAGACAGGAGCTCGTAGACTGGGAAGATCGTGGAGAGCACCTGGCACCAGGCCTTTCTGATGGACAGATGTCAGCTGGGAGAAGTGGCAAGGAGGCCCCAGACCCTGCTCTGGCACTGACACCAGGGCCACTCCCCCAGACGAGCAGGTTTGGGGTGAGGCAGGTGGTAACACCCACTATCGGTTCTGGACACACTGAATGAGGCACCAGGTGACGATGCCACTGCTTTCGTAATCAGGAAACAAAATCATTGAAAACTTACCTGTTTTTGTCAAATGACGTCCTAGCCAAACGGGACTGCAAAATGGCTGTTATCTTTAAAACAGAATCATTTAAAAAGTATGGATATAAGGATTTATAAGTGACATATCAATACACGTTCATTCACAATAAAGATACGGAGCTTTAGAAACTCTTACCATAGCAGTTTGGTCCCCAAGTTTGTCCAGACAGGATGCTCTGTGAAGCTACAATTATATAAATACACAAGAATTTATTTTTTCTCTCAGATGCTTTGAAGATATTTCCTTAGAAACAATGAAACACAACCACCATTCTGTTACTTAGTAACAGGTAAAATGACTCTGATATATCTATGGCTTCTGCCTAATGTATAGTTTTCAAGTTCAACATATATCAAGTAAATCTGTTTCAGATTTATAAAAAAGGTTATGGTTTTGGTAAGACATATGAGTATGAAATTCTTTAAAAAAAAAAAAAAAAAGTTTAGGCCTCAGTTTGCCAGTGAATGTCTGAGAAAAGTCCTGGCTTACCTGAAGCAATGTCTCCACGACACCTTCCACCTTCCCTGAAACATCCAACTCGAAGACATATTCCATTGTGCCCTAAAAAAGAGCGAGACCGAGCACGTCAGGCCCCATCACTTTAAGACATTTGCAGCCCCCTGCTGGCCTGTGCAGGGACCTGCCTGGCGCCCCTCCCTCCGCCCACACGGAATGAGCGCCCCGGGGGAGCAGAGTCTGTTGGATTTAGGCTGTATTTACTATCTCCTTCCTTCTGCTGATTTTGGGCTTAGTTTGCTCTTCTTTTTCTGGTTCCTTGAGGTGTACAGTTAGGTTTTTTAATTTGAGATCTTCAAGGTAAGCGTTTAACACTAAACTCCCCTCTTAGGACTGCTTTTGCGGCATCTTTGCAGTTTGGGTGTATGTTCTGTTTTCGTTTTGATCATCTTGAGGTTTTCTGGGTTTGGTTCTTTTACTTCTTTATTGGAGTATAATTGCTTTACGATGTTGTGTTAGTTTCTACTGTACAGCGAAGTGAATCAGCTGTATGTACACCTATATCCCCTCCCTCGCGTCTAATTTCTCTTTATTTCTTTGACCCATTGGTTGTTCAGGAGTGTTGCTTAATTTCCACATGCGCGTGCATTTTCCCACTGCGATGGCTTTCCGGTTTCACTCCACGGTGGTTGTAATTTTCTTAGATTTGTTGACTTGTTTTGTGACCTGACATGCAACCTGTCCTGGAGAAGGTCCCGTGTGCACGTGAGAAGAGCGTGTGTCCTGCTACCGTTGGGCAGGACATTGTGTGTCTGTGAGGTCCATCTGGTCAGAGTGCTGGTCGAGTCCTCCGTTTCCTGAGTGACCTTCTGTCTGGATGATCTACCCATGACTGAAGGTGGGGCACGGACGGAAGTCTCCTCTGTCCTGTGCTGCTGTCAGCCTCTCCTTTCAGTCCTGTCAGTGCTGGCTTCATACACTCAGGTGCTCTGAGACTGGGTGTGCAAGTGTTGTGGCGGTTAATTTTATGTGTCACAAGCTGCACTCTTCTCTTTCCCCTGAGGGTGAGTCTGCTGGGCTGTATCTGCCTGTGTCTCTGGTGCAGGGTCCCCTGGAGCAGCTGCACAATGCCCAGCTCTTTCCTGTTTTCAGGGGTCCCCAGGCATCTAGAGCATTATGGGTCCTGTCAGAGGTCCAGGACAGGTGAGACAGAAGCCAGTCCCTCAGGCAGCTGCCCCCAAAAGCCAGAACATTGGACCTACGGTCCTGTCTTGTCTTTCCCTCCCCAGGGAGAAGATGGGAGCTGGGAGTTCCCTCCAATCACGTGGCACAGTGCCAGGGGAGGGACTACGGGGAAAGGATGCTACAATGTTCCCACAGCTTCAGGGTGGCTCATTTCATGCTCACCTGGGGCGCAGGGCACTCTTAACTGGTTTCTGGATTTCTCACAAAGGGAACTGAGTCAGTCTCTCCATAAGAGGAACAAGGGTCTGGGCTTCCTAGTCTATCAAGTCTCATCACCAAGGTCAAAGTCACAACCCCGCCCCTTTAAACCTGAGAATCCTTTGGTGTCCTAATTCACAAGAGCTTCTCTTTGCTTCAGAAAACCTTACTCATTTCCTTTTATGTAACTTTTCAGCAGCTTTGCACTTCCAGTGGGTGACAGGAGAGCCTCTGCAGGGAGAGTACACCAGGCAGCGGTTCTCAACTTGGGGGGCAGGGGGGCGTTCCGCCACCCTTGCAGGGCACTTGTCAATGTGCGGTACCACACAACAAAGGGGGACAATGCAGAGGGGGCACCCCGTGGGTGGGAACAGCCTGTAATGTAAGCGACAGCCCCTCACAATGAAGAACCGTCCTTCCCAAAGTGCCAATAGCACCACGTGTGAGTGACGAGGTCGCAGTATTCACCGTTTCTGAGTGACTGGCGCATGCAGATGTTTCTTGTACATGAAACTCAGAGGGGGCTGCACGTGGCTGGTGCGCCCCCCCCCACCAAGCTGCTGCTGAGGACCCGCAGGCTGGCCTGTGACCGGAACTGCCATCCCGCCTGTCGGACGTCTGCTCGGAGAGGGTGGCTTTTCCTAATTCAGAGGTGTCGCGTACAGGAGCAGCAGTCCCATCTCTAGGTCTCGTAAAAACTCTTCTGCTACGAGTTATCCCTTTACTGCGTACTAAGCTGCAGCGTAAAGCATTAATTAAAGCACAGAAGGGTTGGATGTAACGTCTAGTTCCAAGTCTTGTGTTCACGGCCCCTCAGGGCTTCTACCCAATCAGCAGCATTTATAAACTATTACTGAGCTCTTAAATAAGGGTATTTTATAGCCTATAAGTATTTCTCAAACATTTAAAAGAAGTTCTCATTGATATTCAGTAAATAATCTTTCAAATGATGCATATTCTGATTTCAACTTTTAACCTAATAATTTAAGCTTTTTTTCCCCCTAATAGAGACACCTATTTTGAAGTTAAAAAGTTAATTGAAATCTTTTGGACTAAAGTCTGTCATTCCCTTGGTATTTTGTTATAACTGCTAGGGAACAAGCTTTTAAATACCCATTACATTGCATTAAAGAAGTTAACAGAGACACAGAATCTTACTGCTCAAAATCACTACGTAAATTGCGGGGGATAAATGAAAAGCTTTACTTACCCTTTCTATTTTATATGGTGCAACAATGTTGTGTTCTTTAATGAAATATACCTGAGAAAGACAAATCAATACTTGTAAAATATTAAACATTATCACAGTAATGAGTTACTGTTAATTAGGATGTTATGAATCGAATTTAAATCATTGTTACATAATCTGTTTCCAAAAGCACTTGCATTAATATCAGTATGGCTTTCAAGTTCTGATGTTAAAATAACAAACATTAAATTAAAAAAAGATTCATCAAGGCAACAAGGTAGCAACCACTGCTGGATAAATACAACGTCTAAGATGTTTTATGAATGTCATCACTTGTACCCAGTAACCAGACAAGTGAAGGAAGCTAATCTAAGGCTGATTTTCTAAGAAATGAGTAAAACAAAGTCACTGTGGTATGAAATCCATTCATCAACATAAAGAAAACTCTCTTCTCTAGACAGACACACACGCGCACATACACGTGCGCACACGCACACACACACTCCTCTTTATTCTATCAGCAAAAGAATATTTGGAAGCAAAACTCTAAAAGCCTAAAGAACCATAACATATTTCTGAAACACTGTGACCTGGTAAGTAATCAAAAAACACAAAAGTTGTGTTCATTTGGTTGTGTGCTTAACCCAGGAAGCTTAATACTTGAAAGAGTAGCTTATATCTAGTCACACCTTGATGTAAAGCTGATTTTGAGTTTATTTGACATGAGACCTCTTATACAAACTACTGAAAGGAGGTGGGAGGATTTGGGGGCTTTATTCTTAAGTTTATTGAAATTATACTAAAATATGTGTGTGTGTGTGTGTGTATATATATATACACTTTTTTTTTTTTTTTTTTTTTTTTTGCAGTACGCAGGCCTCTTACTGTTGCGGCCTCTCCCGTTGCGCAGCACAGGCTCCGGATGCGCAGGCTCAGCGGCCACGGCTCAGGGGCCCAGCCACTCCGCGGCATGTGGGATCTTTCCGGACCGGGGCACGAACCCGTGTCCCCTGCAACGGCAGGCGGATTCTCAACCACTGCACCACCAGGGAAGTCCATAAAATGTATATTTTTATAATGGAAACCATACTTTCAACTGAAAAAGTACCTACTCCTTTCAAGATAAGGACCTTCTAGAATAAATCGACAGTGTAGAATGATACTCTAGACATAATGAGAATACAGGTGTGGACGAGAATCATCAGTCGTGGTGCTCCTTCCCCAAACAGATGTGGCCATAACTGCTTTCATATCCGCCAGTCAAAGCAGCATGAAGTCAAAGAGAGCCTCTGAAATGCTTTCTTCCCTAAAATTATTAGAATCATGGAAGGCAGACTTAGAAAATCACCTAATCTGATATCTCCCAGGCTTCATAAAATAATTTTCAATATGCATTAAAAAGAGGCACGAACAAGAGGGCTAAGTGATCCAAAAACCACCGGAGGCTCTCTGCCCCCGACCATTCACCCCTTGAGAATCTCAACGCTTCGCGCCCAGTCCTATAGCGTAAAGAAATCTCTGCATCTTTGTTTCCCACAGCTCTTCCCATGCTTGCTCGATCACAGAACGATACTTTTCTTTGAACACTTCAAGAAGCTGGAGATCCGCAGAGACTGGAGCCAATGCTGACCTCTACCCTTTCATTTTCAAGGTGAAGAAGGTGAGGTTCACAGCAAAAAGGCAGTGGTAATGAGCTCTACTCCTCTCTCATCTATAATTTTTTAAAGATCTCCAGATGAATTGAGCACAGCTAACCCTTGAACAACATGGGTTTGACCTGCATGGGTCCACTTACATGTGGATTGTTTTCAGTAAATATATTGGAAAAGGATGTGGAGATTTGGGACAATTTGAAAGAAGATGAACTGTGTAGCCTAGAAATATCAGAAAAATTAAGAAACTGTTATGTCATGAGCGCATAAAATATATGTAGATACTAGTCTATCATATCATTTACAACCATAAAACATACACAAATCTATTACAAAAAGTTAAAACTTATCAAAACTTACGCACACGCTAACAGACCGTACATGGGTGGCACAAATCTTAGTCGAGAGAAATGTAAATAACTATAAAGATGCAGTATGAAATCACAGCTGCATACGTTCGCCGTAGTTCACACTGTACCACGGTCATAACTTCATAGCCGCCTCCTGTGATACTGCGCTGAGGTCGAGTGCTGAGAGTAACCTCAGAAGGCCGCGGGACGCTATTCATCTTTGCGTGAGCAGCAGTGAATCGGGCATCACAGTAAAAAGTGGTCCCTCCTACTTCTTGTGCATTTTTCGTCGTGTTTAGTCTAAGATCACAAACCTGGAATAACACCACGGGACCCACACGAAGTGCCACTAGTGATGCTGGCCGTGCTCCCGAGAAGCAAAGTCATGACATTACGAGAGAAAGTTGAACTACTTGATACGTGTACCATTGATTGAGGTGAGGTCAGCCGCTGCAGTTGCCACCATTTCAAGATAAATGAATCCAATGTAAACACCATTGTAAAAAGGAAAAGGAAGTTCATGAAGCCATCTGGCAGCTACCCAGCAGGCGGGAGAACCTGGCACTTTTTGTGAACTACCTTTTTATCATGTACTGAAAATGCAGCTTTTATGTGGGTGCAGGGTTGCTGCGTGATGACTAACATGGAGTCATCATATGACAACTTAAAGCAAAAGGAAGGTGAAGGATCTAAAGCTGGAAAAGTTAATGTCAGCAAAGGATGGTTTGATAATTTTGGAAAGAGATTTCGCTTTGAAAATGTCAAGATAACAGGAGAAGCAGCTTCTGCCAACCAGGAGGCAGCAGACGAGCTCCCAGACACCATTAAGAAAATCACTGAGGAGAAAGGATATCTGCCTGATCAGGTTTAAATGCAGATGGAAGTGCCCTCTTCTGAGAGAAAAAAAAAAATCCACAAAGGACGTTCATTAATAAGAGACACGAGGACCTGGATTTAAGGGCAGGAAGGGATAGGCTAACTCTGCTGTTTTGTGCAAATGCAATGGGGTCGATGACCAGGACTGCCCTGATCTATAAAGCTGCTGACCCCAGCCTTGAAGGGAAGAGGGAACCCCAGCTGCCAGTCTTTTGGTTGGACAACAAGAACCCTTTTTCTGGATTGGTTCCATCGATGCTTTGTCCCGATACAGGAAGTATTCTGCCAGTACGGGATTGCCCTTTAATGTTCTTTTAATTGGACAATACCCCTGGCCACCTAGAACCCCATGAGCTCAACACCAAAGGTGTCAAAGTGGTCTACCTGCCCCCAAACCCAGCATCTCTAATTCAGCCTCTAGATCAGGGGTCGTAAGAACCTTTAAGGCTTATTACATATGGTACCCTGTGCAAAGGACTGTCAATGCTGTGGAAGAGAAATCATGAGAGTCTGGAAGGATTACACCATTGAAGATGCCATGGTTGTTATAGAAAAAGCCATGAAAGCCATCAAGCCAAAAACAGTACATTCCTGCTGGAGAAAACTGTGTCCAGACGCTGTGCATGACTTTACAGGATTTACAACAGAGCCTATCAAGGAAATCATGAATCAGATTACAGATATGGCAAAAAGAGAGAGGCGGTTGAAACGTTTCAAGATACGGATCTTGGAGAAATTCAAGAACTAATGGACACCACATCCGAGGAATTAACAGAAGACAACCAGAGGGAGATGAGAGCTCCCAAACCAGCGCCAGATGATGAGGAAGATGTAGAAGCAGCAGTGCCAGGAAACAAACTGACATGAGACCACCTAGCAGCAGGCTGATTTCTGAGACTGCTTTTTCACTTCTTTTATGACGTGGACCCTTCTATGACACAGGCACTGGAACTAAAGCAAACGGCGGAAGGAGGATTGGTACCGTATAGCAACATTTTTAGAGAAATAAAAAAGCAGAAAAGTCAGCCAGATATCATGATGTATTTCCGTAAAGTTAAACTGAATGTGTCTGCCTCTCCTGCCCGCCCCCCCCCCCCCCATCTCTGCCACCTGCGACAGCAAGACAAACCCCCCCCGCCCCCCGCCCAATGTGAAGACAGACGACAGGAATGAAGACCTCTGGGACGCTCCACTTCTACCTAATGACTAGTGAACAATCATCCTGCCGTGCAGTTAATAAACTCACCTGTTGTGTTTGTGTGTGTCTTCATGTGAACATCTAATAAGCACGTGGAGGAAGCGTATGACACGTTTCTGTGTTCATCACTGTCATCACCTAAGCATTCATAGTGTAGAACATCGTGTGCGAGACTTGTACTGAAGTGGACAGCCTACCCTTGCGTAGGCATAAGGGGAGTGATTTTAATATAAGATTAATCATGTGTTAGATTTCTGGTTTCGTAACTTTGCTTTCAAAGAATTACATTACTGTTCAGATGTCTTTCTCTATCACCACGGGTTTAAAAAAAAAATGTAATCATGTTTGGGGCTTCCCTGGTGGCGCAGTGGTTAAGAATCCGCCTGCCAAGGCAGGGGACGCAGGTTCGAGCCCTGGTCTGGGAAGAGCCCACATGCCGCGGAGCAACTAAGCCCGTGCACCACAGCTACTGAGCCTGCGCTCTAGACCCCATGAGCCTCAACTACTGAAGCCCACGCGCCTAGAGCCCGTGCTCTGCAACAAGAGAAGCCACCGCAATGAGAAGCCTGTGCACCGCAATGAAGAGCAGCCCCCACTTGCCGCAACGAAGACCCAACACAGCCAAAAATAAATAAATAAAATAATTTTTTTTTAATTTTGAAAATTAAAATGTGACGTCTCCATACTGAATTATGAATCTGATACAACACCGTGTGCCGTAACACTTTTATAACGATTCACTCAACAGTGTACAGGCTGGGCTACCGGGAAGCAATCGTATTGATGACACAGGCTACGATAAAGCAGTCATCCTGCTGCTGCTTCATTATCAGGGCATGAATCATACTTGTGAATAACACGTTCCTTTTTCACATTATCCTTTCTTTTTTTTTTTTTTTTTTTTTTCCGTTCGCGGGCCTCTCACTGTCGTGGCCTCTCCCGTTGCGGACGCGCAGGCTCAGCGGCCATGGCTCACGGGCCCAGCCGCTCCGCGGCATGTGGGATCTTCCCGGACCGGGGCACGAACCCGTGTCCCCTGCATCGGCAGGCGGACTCTCAACCACTGCGCCACCAGGGAAGCCCCTATCTTTTCATTTTTGATGTCTAATGTTAGTAACACATCTAACATCTACAGTGTTTTGTGTCACGTTAAGACAATATTGATGTCGGTCCTGTCATCTTATAAACAGATGACATGAACTTACAGTATGGATAAGTACGGTACATACTGCAAATGCATCTTCTCTTCCTTATGATTTTCTTAATAACGTTTTCTTTTCTCTAACTTATTGTAAGAATACAGTACACAATACATATAACATACAAAATACATGTTATCAACTGTCTATGTCATCGGTGAGGCAACAGTAGGCTATCCGTAGTTAAGTCTGGGGGGAGTCAAGAGTTATACATAAATTTTCACCTGTTTGTGTGTGTGGGCGTGGGGGTCAGTGCCCCAAACTCCCACTTTGTTCAAGGGTCAGTTGTGTATGACAGGAGAAAAAACATGTCATTTATCTCCGTATTGCCAGTGTTCACACAGTACCGGATGCACAAATCTATATTGAGCAAATGTGAACTGAAGCAAAGGTCATGACCCCAAGCATTATACTATAATTAGACAAGGCTACACATCCTGAGCCGTGGCCTCGGTTGTCACCACGAGTCCCTCTGAGCTCACTGCAGCGGGAGGCGCTGGCCTCCCACCACTGCAGTCCTTCATCTCAAGCCTCACGCACTGTCCGGACTCCTCGGGGCGGACCCACACAGCCTGCAGGTACCACACGCTTAATGAACGTTAAGGAACGCATCAGGCATCACAGCTTCTAAGACATAGTTCTCAATGACTAACTTTAAAAGGATTTCAACATCATTCCCTGTGGCCTTCATTTGAGATTTCTACAAATAATTTCATTGTGCTTAAAAAAAAAGTGTATATATATGTATGGTTATATATACACATACACATATGTATGTATTTATTCATTTAAACGTTCGTTCAGGTTAGAAAAAAATGTTTACTAGGTGCTTCTTACCTGACTGAAAATGAGTGAGATCCCCCCGGATACCACCCTAAAATGCAGATAGAAGTTATTAAATGTATGTAATCTTTTGGTAGAAGTAAAATTACACAGTTAAGACAATGACGTACTTTGCAAAGTGTCTATTGGCTCCATTTTCTCCATGTTTTCCTATTTTTATACAATCTCTCAAAGGAATCTGGAAAAAATTGAGAGAAATATTATAAAAATAAGCCAAGGTAAAATATATACAAAAAATAGAACCATTTCTGTTCACATTTAAAATGCATTTACCTTAATGATGGGCTGGGATGTTGCATCCGGTTCAAAAATAACTGATTTTGAACATATTTTTAAGGAGCCTCTGATTTTCCTAGAGATGAAAGTACAAAAGGTTATTATTAATGAACGTAACAAAAGTCACAAAAGAATCATAATACATTTTAACTAGAATGTAGATCACTAAAGTATCAACTAATAAAAGATCAACAAAGAGAAGGGTATGAAAGGTTGGAAAATATAGCAAAAATATTTTCCTCATCTCCCCCTCCCTAGAGGTTAAAGAATCTGCATGTGCTGTAATACGGTCTCACTGGTTGAGCACCGTCGCATGTATTTTATTCGCATTACTTCATCTGGTCCTCACAACTACTGTGAAAGGGAAACAGTTTTCTGATCCTTAAGAAACGCTGATTCCATCCTGTCTGTGGTAAATTCTTTTGACTTTTAATTTCCTATATCTTAAAGAACTACTCAGAAAGCAATACTAAGCATCTAACGTTGATTAGGTAGGAGATTTTTTGTGTTCTTATTTATAATCATGCAAGAATAACAAGAGTTTGAATTTAGAACCCAGAACGCTTTTACTGGTGATTCTGGGGTACATTGGAATTCCAAGAAAAACTGGTTCTATGATGATAAGCAATTTTAAAGACCATCTGCCTACTACTGTAATAGCAAATAAATCAGTTACCGGCTTCACCATGCTCCTCCTTTCTTGGGACATTTATAAGGCTCCAATGAGTTTTGGGAAAAAGCCTGCCTGAGCATGTTAGAGGCCCATGTGCCTCACTTGCCTGAAGCCAATAAAAATCTACACACTTGATTGTCTTTTTATTGACTAGATTGACTTTTATCAATGGATCAAACCAAGGCAATAACTTAGTATGTAATCAAAACACAGGTTAAGAAATGCTGGAACATCATCTTATAAAAAAATCACCTTAAGATTAGTTTCCAAGAGTACTACAAGTATCTACAAGCGAAGCTCTAAGGATCCTACGTTTTTTAAAATCACTTGTATGACATCTGGACTTTTTCTCCAGTCGTTCCTCAGTGTCCTAATAAACTTTTTTTTTTTTTTTTTTTTTGCGGTACGCGGGCCTCTCCCCTTGTAGAGCACAGGCTCCGGACGCGCAGGCTCAGTGGCCATGGCTCACGGGCCCAGCCGCTCCGCGGCATGTGGGATCTTCCCGGACCGGGGCACGAACCCGTGTCCCCTGCATCGGCAGGCGGACTCTCAACCACTGCGCCACCAGGGAAGCACGTGAACGCTTCTTACTCTGGCCGTTCCAGGGTCTCTTAACTGACGCAATTATGTTACTTATACTCTAGAAAGACCGACCTGCTCTTCCTGCTTCTGTACCCCACCCCCACCCCCCAGGCCAAGTCAGTTCTTCTTCTATCAAAGAAGTCTCACATTCTTCCTGGCTTACAAATAGGCCAATGGTGTTCTAACCCACAGGATAAAGTCCCATCACGATCTGAGGAAGGCCTACCTCTGTGTACGTAGATAATATGTACCCAGTGCACAAGAAGGCTGGTCATGCTGAAGGTCATGATCTAGCCTGCAATTCTTCTTCCTCAAAAGCTCTTTTGAATTTTGATTTTGTATCATTTCTTTCCATGCTGTTATCTGCATTTACTTTCCTAACACCCTAAATCACCTGATAATAACTTAAGTACTTCTATGGCAAGTGCTAAACAAGTACGAATAGAATAGAAAATTCCCAAGTACCAATCACCTAGTTTCTGCAGTTGTTACCATGCAGTCATTCTTGTTCTGTGTACAACACCTCAGAACCCTGCAGGATTTTAGATAAATTCCCAGACATCCTATACTTCATTTATATATACTTTAACATGAATCTCTGAAGATAAACTATTTCAATAAATGACCTATCACTGTCACACCTAAAAAAATGAATAATTCCCTAATGTCATCAAGGACACAGCCAGGATTCAAACTTTTCTCTTTCCTAAGTGTGTTCTTATAGTTGGTTTGTTCAAGTCGGAACACAAAGTCCGTATTACATTTAGTTGACAGGTCTCTCAATATCTCTTCATCTAAGGCAACTTTCATGTTCCCGCATTACGAACTTTGCTAAACACATCTCTGTGGTTTTCCTCTATCCCATTTCCTTTATATAACTGGTAAGATTAAAAGACTTGACCAGCTGGGGTTTGATGTTCTGGTAAGGGTTCGTCAGAGGCAGTGCACATGTACTTCCCTCGTATCAAGAGGCCAGAGTGGGTTCAGGCAATGCCTATCTTGATACGTGCATTAAAAAATTTCTCAGCAGCTTTTCATCTGCTGGTTTAGCGGCCACTGAAGATTCTGTCTACATCAGAGGTTGGCAAACTTCTTCTATAAAGAGCCAGATAGTAAATATTTTCGACTTTGCAGGCCATTTGGTCTCTGTCACTATTCAGTTCTACTTCCGTGTTGCAGGAAAGCAACCACACACAATATGTAAACAGGTGGGTGTTCCAATAAAACTTTATTTACAAAAACAAGTAGCAGGCCAGATCTGACCATAGTTTGTCGACCCCTGATATAGATCCATTATTCACTAGGGGTTGAAATTTTTAACATTCCCTGTGTTTATTATCTAGAATTCATCAACAAAGAGCAGCTTTAATTATCTGTGATTTGGTTACCCTAAAGTACAATTTGTACAAGGAAAGCAGGAAAAATGCTCGATTCTTTACGTTTATCAAGTTTTAGAAAAATAAGTTGGTGTCCTAGTACCTTCAAAGGTAACTGATATACATATATATACACACACACACGAGAAATAGTATATTTGTATTACATATATGTCATTATGAACTCATGGATTTGAGCCCTTCTGATACATTTCAATCCACTGCCCTCATTATTCTTTTTTGGTGTTCAATCTGTCCCATTTTTTGCCCGGCTCTTCAGGGTGGCCTTGTGCCCTTTTAATTCACAAGCAGTCATTTCTGATACCTTCCTTTCTTGCCAGTCTGACAAGATGGTCCAGGCTCACCTCCCACATTTCCTCCCCTGACGTAGACTCAGACAAGTCTACAAGAGCCCTCGTTTCTTTCAGTGGAGAGTAGCATTCAGAGTAGCTCACTGCTACTGAGCTCTCACTAGGCCTTTTCAGAGATCCGAAAGTCTTCCTTACCTTTCATTCTGACTGCCCTTGTGCTGAATATGATTAGCTGTATGCTGTTCAAAGTAGTACTCCTCCAAGTTAAGCAGCAGCAAGGAAAATCTAAATTTGGGGAAAAAAACAAAATCGCATGTTTATTTTTTTTAAGTATAAGAAAGCAGAATATTTCAAGCATGTGTTCCCAAAGTGTTTTTCCATCCACTACATCAACAAACACTTACTAAGTGTATATTATATGCCAGGCACTCTTCTCTATCAAGACAGACCTACCCAGCTATGCCAAAAATAAAATAAATTGTTTACCAGGTGGATTTATTATTCCTTTACAGAAACTCCAAATTTCATGAAATAAAACCATGTATAAAACAGATAGCTGGTGGGCACCTCCTCTGTGATGACCTAGATGGGTGGGATGGGGGGGTGGGAGGGAAGTCTAAGAGGGAGGGGCTGTATGTATACATACAGCTAATTCACTTCACTGTACAGCAGAAACTAACACACCATTGTAAAGCAATTATACTCCAATAAAACAACAACAACAACAACACTTACTGTTGCCTGAACAGAGCTCGGAGCTTTCCCACCTACAGGGTGTTCATCCTTTGTTCCCCACGACTACACACGAGGCTTCCCCACCCCCTCTTCCCCACCACACACCATTCTCCACTGTCATGGCTCGTGGGTGGGTGCGTTTCTCTTGCTACTTCCACAAGACCAGTGCCTCTGAGAAGCAGATCTTTAGATATTCCTGTTATAACCAATCTAAGGCTTTGTACGCAACAGCTATTTAATAGATAAAACGAGTAAGCTGAACCCAATGGGAATCAGTTCTTTTTAAAGCTTTAAGTGCTTTAAACTTTTAAAAACAAAATAAAGTAACAGAAAAAGTATTAATTTAGTTGCATGGCCACAGAAACAAATATATGGCGAAGAACTGAAAACAACTGTTTTGTTTGTTTTGTGGTAAGGACCAGGAAACATCAACGGCACCCAGAGTCACGGGGAGATGTTTTCATGAAAACTGTGGTACTTGAGATGTGTCTTGAAGTTCCGGTGTATTACAGGAAGGCATCTAGATTAAATACGGCAGAATAAACGTAAGTGTTTATTTCTGCTCCCTCTGGAAAAACACTACAATGTGAACAAAAATATTTTTTAAATAGTAACCCCCCCACACAAAAAATAGTAAAACCCACAGACTAATGGAAATCGGAGAGACATAAAAGCAGATGAGAGATACCTATAAATTTGTGAGACGTGGAAAGCAGAGGGGAGGAATGAGCAGTGATCAGAAGCTGGAAGAGCAGATGCCTCCAGAAAAAGTACAAACCAGGAGGAAACCACAAGTTCCACAACCGCAGGTATCAGGTACCAAGAAGGTAGGGATGGAGCCTGGGGGGATGCTTGAAAGTCCAAACGAGGCCAGCAGCCGCGATTCCTCCCCGATGCTTCTCCCTACACATGGTTTTTCAACACCAGAATTAAACAAGAGACTCCAAACTAGGCACCAAGCACAGCGCAGAGCAGCGCCACTGCATGAAAAGACAGTGATTACACAGAAAGCAGGAGGACATGTAACACTCCAAGCAGCAGACTGGGGGTTAGTTCTGGAAAAAACTAAATAGCCCTGGAGAAAAGACCTATGGATACTAACATTTCAAAGAACCGTCTACAACATCATCCCACAGTGAGGCCCAACAGAAAAGGCCTGCCCACAGTGACACAGAATTACATGCTTCGCCCTTAAATATGAACGCACACCCCAAGATCACCAGCCTCTAATGGGAAAGAACTAGACCAAACAAGCGGAAGAACACAGCTTGAAGGACTAGAGACAATGAACAGAAGAAAAGGTCAAAAGACTCTAATTAAGATCCTTACAAAGAAGAAATTATATCCATGAAACGAGATGCTGCTTGCTTGAAAACAAACTGGACCAACAGAAAAATAACTCATAAATTAAAAATGATGACAGCGGGAACTAGCTTTGCCATCAAAACAGGCAATTTTTATTGGCCTGTTGTACACTGTAAAATCCATGAGCAAGAATTCATCACAGGCTAAACTGCCAGAGGTCAGTGTAAAATGCCCACTATTAACACTTACTCTGAATTTCGGAGCAACCACAAAAGTTGAGATTGGTAGGAGCGTCCTCTGATGCCCGAGATAATTTCCAAGAAGGTATAAATCAGAGAGATACTAAGTACCTTGGCCCTTACTTTTAGCTTGTATTAATAAGTTGAAACCTTTTGCTTGGGCTGGAGCTATGCAACCGTCTCTCCTCCTTCTTCCTCTCCCCACTCCTCCTCTTAGAGAGAGGATAAAATAACTATTCGTCAATAAGACAATGGCATAATTTTGTTGCTATAAAAATAGCCTTCATATGGGCTTCCCTGGTGGCACAGTGGTTGAGAGTCCGCCTGCTGATGCAGGGGACACAGGTTCGTGCCCCAGTCCGGGAAGATCCCACATGCCGCTGAGCAGCTGGGCCCGGGAGCCATGGCCGCTGAGCCTGTGCATCCAGAGCCTGTGCTCCGCAACGGGAGAGGCCACAACAGTGAGAGGCCCGCGTACCGCAAAAAAAAAAAAAAAAAAAAAAAAAAGCTAAAATAGTAAATCTTAGGTGTGTTTAAGGTTTTTTCTGGATTTTTAAAAATTTTATTTAAGTATGTGTTTTTTATGCCAATAAAAATATAATCACATCAGCTATTGTATGACTAAAGTCATTATTTTGGTAAATGAATTATATCCTCCTTAATTTACTAATATGCCTATTTTGTAAGTAATGTAAAACACATGATAAAGGGATATAACCACATCATTATTCAAAGGATTAAGAAACTTTTCTGAGTTTATTTTTTTCTTTTTACTTAAGTATTCAATTATACCTGCTTGAAAGTTTTTGTATGTAAAAAGTATTACTGTAAAGTTTCATGGTGTTCTGAACAATGATTTTCAAAGTGCATTCCATGGAGTAAAACGTTCCAAGTTTTAAAAAAAAGTAAAAATAAAAACACTTTTATAATTTTATGATCTCCCTCATTAGTGGTGTATCAGGCTGTAAATTATCTCTTTAGGAGACTCGGGGCCCTGCTCCTGGGTATTCCTTAGTTTACTCCATCTTTACAGAGGTGTAGTGACATTTTCTTTAGATAAACTGACTCCTTCCGCAATTTAACTTTCCTGAAAAAGATGCTGTCCCATCCTCATGTTGCAAAGCATACTGTTCAACACTTAACCAACAACGTAAGACAAGTTCACCCCAGGCCAGTCCTCAGAGTTAACCCTGCCTTCACGGCTACCCAACAATTATTCAACACTGTTGATAAACAGTATTTATAATGGAGCCAGAAGATTTTGCTAGTCAATCATTTCTCTAGTTGGAAAACTAGCTTCACTGTGAAGAGGATTGTGAGACCGCAGGAAGCGCCAGGACACCTTAGTGACATGTGCATGGCGGCAGAAAGGGCCCAAGTGGCCTGTATTTGCATCTCTCCTCTGAACACCCCAGTATCCTTGGATTAAGCTAGACTGTAGGGCCCCCACTACCTAGAGAGCTGGTTGAACTAAACTGGGCATTTTTGGTAAGCTTCTTAAAATGGCCTCTGAAACAAGGAATGAATTAAGAAAATGTTTAAGAGACAAGAACACTGTCCTGTGACCCACTGTTAGAAATGTGCCCCCAAGAATACATCTGACAGCAACCTCTGAATAGGCAAACAAATCTTACCTAACTATACGAACATCCATTTCTCCTTTCTCAATTCTGCTATTAAGACATCACAAAACCAAACCTTATTCTCTGCGAGCGTTCAGCTGAACTAAATCGACTGCATTTTCCTGACCTACCAGTCAGAACTCTGTCAAAAAAGATCAGATTAGCATGAAATGACTGCATACTGAATTCATGCTGGAGACAGATGACAACTTCCTCTCCTAGCCGTTTATAAAAATCTGTCTGATCTAGAATTAGCACTCAACCTACTTATGCACATATGCTCTTTCTGCACCTTTCCAAGTTCCTAGATCATGGAAACATGCCGTGGTTCCAAACTCAAACTCTCCCAGGAGTTGACACCAGGAGACCCAGGCACGTGGGTGTCCTCCGCATCTTAACCCATCTTCTGAAAGTCTAGTCTGTCACTTTCAGTCTGATGGTATCATCAATAGAATACAAAATAAGAGCCACTTCCTCTGTCATGAGTAATATTTTACACTGCTGGGCTGGGCCGGGCCCTAGGCAAGAGCCTAGTTTTACACACAACTTCAGGAGACTTAAAAAAAAAAAAAATATATATATATATATATATATTTTTTTTTAACCTGTAGCATCGTTTAAAGCAAGCACTCCTCTGGGGCTTTAACCTTCTTGATGCTAACTTACAGGACTGTGATATCCTCTTAATCTGTCCTTGGTTGTTGCCTTTCTTGCTTTATATTTTTTAAAAAAAAAATTATAAGCTCGGAGGAATACTACGTGTACCACCATTCTCTGTTTATTTGCTTGTCTGATTTTTTTTGTAACTCTTCACCAAAGACCATTTGGATTGGACGTTCTGAATTCTATTTCTGACAGTTTGACAAACTTCCTAGGTCAATATCCTTTTCAGAACTGTCCAGTAATGATCCTGTTTTATTCCCCTTCCTGGAAACTTACAATATCTGCCTTCTGAAAAATTTAGTTTCTATGCATGTCAGAATCCTTCTTAATCCCCCTGGGCTTCAACAATAAATAACTTGATACCATTGCCCTTTCTGATGGTTTCTGTCATTGCTACTTGCTTAATGACTCTTTAATACTTAGAATTTTGAAAAGTTCTCAAGCTCTCTGCCTTAAAATAATTTAAAATTTCAACAAGGGAAGGCAAGGAACGGGAATTAGATCTCATCAAGCTTCGGCTGGGTGAGGTCTCTCATTTTCTGTGTTGCCACTTCCTGTTTTCAATCTCCCTCAGGTACACATCCACCATTTTTTTCCACCCACTTGGGTGGCCTGTAACAAATGAACAATTACGTTATCTCTGTTCCTCTTTCCCATAAGTCCTCCGGGTTTTTCCGCGTGGTTCACGGACTCCCCTGCAGACGTAGATCTTCAGAGCCCA